CCTGATCCCACCTCCTTTGGGTCGTCTGTTTGGATGTTGGAGGTAACGAAGAAGTCATGGAGCTGCACATCCGTGCCCCATTGTCCTTCCATGTGCTAAGGCTTAGGGTTTAGGGTTTAGGGCCGGAGATTACCAAAAAAAAGTAAGCCACGCATAGAACTTGTTGAACAAGCCTAGTACGCCATAGCTAGTATGTTGCAGTATGCTCAAGCCGTGGTTTACAGCCGTCTTTTGGCAAACTCATTAGATGTTCATCAAATTTGTTTCATTCCCACCGCCTTCCCCACCACAGCCTAACAGCGCCATCATAGTCCCAGTAGACTTTGTAACTGAAGTGCGAGATGCTGTACTCCAAGAACCGCCTCTTCAACAAGAATACATACGAATTTTCATCTCCACATGCCTCGGCTGCAGTAGATCTGGCTCTGCAGGAGGGGCTTCAGCTGCGGCACTTGCTCCTCGGTATCACGTTGCAGCCAGAGCTACGAGAGTCTCATGGAGAGTCGGAAGTAGCCCAGAGGCGTGTAGGCAGATGACCATCAAGGCAGCAAGCTTATCAACCTCTCCGAGAGCCCCCAAATCCCAGATCCCAAATCCTGAAACTCTGCCCCCACAATAGCCCGCAGAATGACCCTTGTAGTAACCCTTGTGACGACCCTGATATTGAACCCTTGCAGCAACCCGAATAGTAGCCCTTAAATCCTAACCCCAAGCCCGGCTCTAAAGCTCCCTTATAAGGTTCCTTTAAGGGATCTACAGGGACCCTGAAAGGGATCCTTTTGTTGGGATCTCTACGGACCCTTAGGGGTTCCTTTAAGGGAACCTTTAAAGGGACCTCGTCGTAGACGTAGACCTTGAAGGGTGGTGGCGAGGCCTCCGGATCTTCCAGAAGAGTTCGCGCCTCGCCGGTGAAGCATTCAATCCGCATACAGATTACATATGTGTATATAGTTATACATATATATGTACATGTACATAAACATATACATATACACATACAAATACACATACATATACATATACATAGACATAGACATAGACATAGACATAGATATATACATATACATATACATATACATATACATATGCATATACATATACATATACATATACATATACATATACATGTACATGTACATGTACATATGTATGCATGTATGTATGTATGTATGTATACACATAAACTTATATACATACAATTACTCATACACATATACAAAAATATATATGTGTATATACACACATATACCGACTACTGACAACTGTCTGTACAGATGTACAGCAACAGCACATAACAGCACGTGTCCGTCAGTCCGTCGGTCTGTCGGTCTATCGGTCTGTCGGTCTGCGCGCCTTTCAGGGTTCAGGCCGGCTCGAGGCAAGTGGAAAATGTCGGGGGCGAGGGGTGGGGACCCGCCGGGGCGCAAGCACATACATACGTACATACATACATACATACCTACTTAGATACTTATAGACATATATATATATGTATATATATGTATATGAAAATCTCACATCATCCATCCATCCATCCATCCATGCATACATACATAAATAAACAAACAAATAAATATATATATATATATTACCAAGAGAGAGAGAGGTATATCATATGTACATACCTTTGTGTCTATATATATATATATATATATGTGCGTGTGTGTGTATGTAGCGTGTTGCTGTACCAACTTGCATGCAAATCTAAGAAGCTGTATCTGCAAAGCCCCAATCCCACAACATGTCGTCTGGGTGCAATGCCTCCAGCTCCCGGTACGCCCGCAGGATCTGCTTTCGCAAAAGGAAGACCTGGTCAGGACCAGAACAAGCTTCCTTTGCAAATAGGGTTTTGGGGTACATTATTTTATAGTTGTACTTCATAAGGAAACCCCAAAATAATATAGGTAACTACTAAGCCTAGCATAAGTGCCGGCTTGTGCAGGCTCGTGACGGCTACGTCTTCCTACGGTCTGCGCCCGCCTGCTGATCGTTGAAGGACCAATTACCCGCGTTGATGAGGCCTGCCAGCAGGTGCGTGTCTTGTTGTATTTGCTGTGAGCTGCTAGCCGAAGCTCGCATGCCGGCTTCTCTTGACATGTCGCAGCATCGTCGTCAGCATGCAAGTCTGTACAAGAAGTGAAACAGGTTGAATGCATGCTCCGCTGCTATGCCGCCACAGCAAACCTGGGCACTCACACCGCACATGCTGCAGCTTTTACTGTTACCAGTACTATTACGATTCCTACTACTGTTTTCAACAACCGGTAGACTTCTACCAACTTCCCAATTACCAGAAAAGCATTGTGGACAAGCATGGACGGCAACTGAATCAGCATCTCTTGCAGCTACTAGCGGATGTTAGGCCATGCAAGGTGCTTCGAATAAAGGCCGCATAAGTAGCACATGAGTTACGAAATAAAGCAGCAACTCTACTATCTGCCAAACCCAATCGCTGCTAACTACCACAAATTTCACCACATGGGCGCCGAAGGACTCGGAAAGCGAAGCCGCACGAAGGGCGCGGAGGGCTTCGCGAACCGAAGCGTCCACGGGAGCTTTCTTTGCCTCGGAGTGGCACAAGCCATAGCAAAGGCTTTATCTGCATCTTGATCTTCGTCATTGCCACCATCATCCACGATCATGATTATGATTGTTGGTGAGCAGGCTTTGGGGTTACGGGGTAAGGAGATGGCTCAAGCTTGGGACGCCGGACAGCAAGCTCATGAAGCCCCCAAAACATCGGAGGCAAGATTTCAGGACACATCTTTACCGCAACGGTGTTGATTGTGTTTTTGTTGGGGGCTCTGCGGCCCACTGGGTTTTGTTATGGATAGTTTAGGTTTTGGGCAGGTGTTGTGTTGACGGGCCTCTTCTAGCCTAGTGCTTAGGTTTGCCACCCTGGATCTACAAACCTACATGAAGCTCTGAAGCGACAAATCCGCAAGGTCACGCGGATTCCTTTGAAACGCTTAGCCACACATCCACCCCAAAAAGCCACCTAAGCCCTAAAGCTTCCCCGATCATACCGGTTCGAAGCCATCTTCAGTACTCGTTATGGTACGCTACTGATCGCCCTTGTGGTTATCCCTTTGTAATACCACGTTTGACACCACCCATGGCCCAGAGACTCCAAAACCCCAAAAAAAAAATGAAAATACCTTCAATAAGAATAGGAAAAGATTTAAAAGAGATTCCTCAATTAATCAGGTATTTTGGAGTCTCTGTGGGCCCTTCAGTAATCCAGCCGAGGCTGCCCCACGCAAATCCGGCAGTGGGCCGCTTCCGGGAACCTGCTTTTCAACACTGTGTACGGGCTTCGTGTGTGAGGTAAAGATTACCCTGAAGGGTTCCGTGGTCTCCGGTTTGGGTTTTTGTGGCTTTGAGGATTTGGGGGGGAGGGGTGCGGAATTGAGATTAAATTTTGATGATTGAGACTCTCTTTCCGGCTTTCAATACTGCGAGCACCCAGCTCAGAGTGTTCAGCTTGGGGAAGAAACAGGGCCTGGATCTCCCTGTACGGTGGCTCATGACGTTGACTACTTCAAGGGTTTAGGGTTCATATTAGTTAAGAAAAAAACATGTGAGCTTCGATTGTTGTTTGTTTGTCTGCAAACTATCCCTGCTGCCGTGTGGTGATTCGTCTTGAGGTTGCTTGGAGCTGCTACGACAACAAAAACGACCACGACGAGGACGACGACGACTACGACTGTTTGTTGCTGCCACTGCTGCTGCAATTGTGATGCTTCTTCTGTTGCTGCAGCTGGCCATTCATGTTGCTGTGGCTGCCTGCCCCATACTCGAGAATTGCATCGATACTGACTCACTGCTCCCGCGAGCTGCGTACTTCGCCACACAAGTACCCTGCAACGCTTGATCCTTACAGCAGGGTGTATTGATACTTGTGAGATGTGACGAGACATGTGTGTGTGTGTGTATATCTACTGTATTTATATGGGTGGTTGTCAAAATTATGGTCCCTTTTTGGGTGCCCTAAATATTAGGTGCCGTATTATAATAAGGACCCAACAAGGGACCCTAATTTTGACAACCACCCATATATGCACAGATACATGGACAAGGATAGAGGGATGCATGCATGGATGGATGGATGGATGGATGGATACAAAGCTGGAAAGATCGAAGGATTGATAAATGGAAAGACAGACAAATAGATGGATAGACCGACACATACATGGATTGATTAATTGATAGATCGTCAGATCGGGAGATTGATCGACAGATAGACCGGTAGATAGATATGCTGATAGAGACCAACAGGAGACAGACAAGCAGGCAAGCAGGCAGGCAAAGAGACAGAGAGACGCGGACAGATTGGTAAATCGATGGACCGGTAGACACATCGACTATTCGATAAATCGACGGATAGATGCATGGACAGATGGATAGATGGACAGACGGACAGACAGATGGATAGTTGGAAAAATGGATAGATGATAGATGGATACACAGACGGATAGATGGACAGATGGAACGGATAGATATTTGGATAGCAAGGTGGGTACGGTGTGGGTAGGGTGGGTAGGTGGGTGGGTCGGTAGGTGGGTGGGTGGGTAGGCAAGGATAGACGGACAGATTGGCAGATAGACAGATATACACTATTGTGAGGCCCCCGGCCGGCGAGGCCAATGGGCTGGAGAGCTCCGGCAGCCCACCTCTGAAGAGCTCAAATGTTTCATGGCTTGGGGATCAAATCTGAAAAATGGGTCGGCTTAATTCAGTTTGTTGGGGTGTTCCTAACAGCACTGATTTAAAGGCCCTCTTCATGTCCCAGCCTACCTCAAGTGGACAAGCAGACTGTAAGACCGTAAGGGTTGCTACACTGGGCCATTTCGTCGCCATGCCTGAATCCCCAAGCGATTTGGCAATGGAGCAGTTCCCCCTACAAACATATCGATCCATCCAGAATCCGGCATTGTGCTCGCATGTGCATGCGTGGTCTCGCCACCCTGAATGTTTCCTTTCGCACACTTTTCCTCGAGTCAGCTGCGCATGTATCCGGCAGAGCGCATCTCCATGAGTCGCGAGGCCTGAGCTTGTGCAGTGCTTGTAAGTTCGAGTGCACTTAGAAAGAATCTGCCCCTGTCTGTCCTAGCTTCTGGCCGAAGCTTCACTAAAAATTAAAACCCTTCGAAGAAGGATGGACGCAGAGAGATCGAGAAGGATAGAGAGATCTAGAAACATACAGACAAACACAAGAATCAGCTGCCAACGCCGAGCAAGAAGCGGTCCGATCCCAAGCGAAAATCTCATCTGCAGTTGAGGTCTTTCGCTCCTCCTCAGAGACGTAGAACAAGGGGATCGGATCGAGCTCTGCTGTGCAGACCACTTTGGTACGACACTCATAAAGAGAGTCGATAAGGGTGATGAAACGTCGAACTTGATCGCGCTCTTGAATCGTCAATTTGGGGATGTTTGCAAGGAACACCATGCGAAAAGCTCGCCCGATGGCGAGATAGTCTGCTGCCCCTAGGGGCTTGTTGCACAGGTCTTCAAAGTCGAAGAAAGCTGCTTCCGAGGTTTCTGCACAGCGGGGCACAATGATCTTGCGACCCTGGGACTCCACCTGCGTGCCAGCACGGAACTTCCCCTGGCATATCCTGGGTCACCGTCAAGGCTGAACTCAAAACATCAACCACGAAGCTGGACTAGCGTTTACAGGGGCGTACTGGCTTCAACTGAAAGGTTTGTTTTCCAAACAGGGTCCAAAGAGCTTGGCAAACTTATGCTCCAGGATTTTTTGCTCGGCAGGTCCATTCGGTGTAATGTAAACTCGGTCATCTTCCTCATCGTGCGTGGAAGTCATTCGGTAGTCAACCTCTGCGCCGATGTCATGCACTTTGCAAAAGTCTTCCAGCATGGGAATAAAGGGCAAGAAAAGAGGGCGATTGAGACCGTTCAGGTACAAGTCCTGTGGAGGACGGTTGGAAGTTGCCACGACGACGGCCCCTAGCTCGAAGAGCACCGAAAAGATGCGCTTCATGATGATAGCATCGCTAATGTGTGTCACCTGAAACTCGTCGAAGCAAAGGAGCCAGCCCTCCCTAATCATGTCCATTGCCACCTGTTCCACCAAATCGTCGGCAGTGTTGTCCCGGCTCGTCTTGTGATTCTTCTTCTGGTGCAAACGTTCATGAACTTCTATCATCCACTCGTGGAAGTGGACCCGCTTCTTCTCCTTAATGTTGATCTTTTCGTAGAACATGTTCATCATGAAGGTCTTACCCGTGCCGGTGCCTCCCCACAGGTACAGCCCTCTCTGGCCGGATGCGGGCTTTGATATGGCTGCCTTGGGTGGAGGAGCCTTGGCTGCTTTGGCCTTGGCTCCAAAAATGCTTCCCAAAAAGCTTGTGGATGTGCTCGGCAGCTGCGTGGGCTTGGGAGCTCTTGCCATTTTAGGCGAGTAGCTCTGCAAGTTCTCCGCTAAGCCATCCAGCATTTGCATGCACTCTTGCTGCCGGTGGTCTGTCTGGATGTCGCCTGAAGCTTTCAGCTTCAGGTAACTTTCCAAGCAACCACCAGGCAGGGCGGAAAGAAACCGCTGCTGGCCGACTATAGTGGCAGCAAAGCCTGCTGCTGGCCAGCTGAGACGCTGACCACCATGGCCCGCCAGGCGACGGCAGGACAGAGCTCGAGTCAATGAATTTATCATGGCGGCTCTATCCTGGCGTGCTCGAGCCGAAATTGCATCCATTGACAACCGTGGCCATAGTTTCACACCTGCTTCAGTCACCAGAAAGTCGAGGCCGTCTCTGAATGATTCCTCCGAGAGCACCATAGACCACCAACATCGAAACACCACAAACCCTCAACCCTAAACCCAGAAACTCGAACTTCACAAGAACGAGATCTGAAACCCTAGCCTGGCACCAAAGGCGGCAGATGCCCTTGGGCACGTTCCGCGAGGAAAGCCTGCATGAGCTTCCCACACTGCTTGTCCATTGCATGTTGATGTTCTGCTCCGAGCTATCCTATCTTCCCACCCTGCTAGTAGTCTGTTCTCTTGATGCTGATACTGCCTTCTTTTGACGATGGGTTCGTCCGTGATTTTGCAAGCTAGCTTTAGCGAGGAATTCCCTACTGTCGACACGTCTGGCCACGGCGGTGCTTGGATGAGAGTCGCCCGACAACTCGCGACTTCATGTCGAGGCCATGGCCTGGAAGGAGGATGAAGGTGCCTGCAGCCACAAATAGCCGTGCCCGTTCATGCAATAGCTATTATTCTCGAGAACAGTCGGGACGTGGCAAACGAAAACCATTGCCATGCAGGCTAAATTGTCTTCTGTGCAAGACTCTCGACATCCGCAACACGGTCTCTTTCCGTCTTGGACCTTCTCGGCGGGCTCCTTCGCTGCCTTCGCCCTTAGCAGAGCTACACTGAAGGGAGGCTCAGGCAGCTGTGCCACAGCCGTCGCTTTCACAAGACCCGGATGAACTTCCAGCAAGAAAACCGAGAACAAGCTTCACACCTCCGGTTTCTTCAGTCAGCCCGGAGCTTGGTTCCACGGGTCACCTATATGGGAGTTAAATAGTAGGATCCTTATTATAAGGACCCCAAACTAAGGTACCCTTAATTTTCGGAAACTCTAAACCCCTTATAGAGCCCTTTAAAGGAACCCTTACAGTACCCTCATAGTAACCCTTTCAAGGAACCCTAAGGTACACCTAATTTTCGGAAAATCTAAACCCCTTATAGTGCCCTTTGAAGGAACCCTTCTCGGTCCCTTAAAGGAACCCCTTAAAGGATCCCTTTAAAGGTACCCCTAATTTTCGGAAACTCCCATATTCCAAAGCCAATCGAAGCTTTGGCTTCGGGCCTGCGCCGCGGCTGCCGTGGCGGCTCCGGGGCGTCCTCCCGAGAGGAGGTTCCGGGGGGGCCTTTTTTTATAAGTAGAGAAGGGTTCCTTAAAAGGGGTCTATAAGGTTACTACAAGGGTACTATAATATAGGGGGCTTAAAAATTAGAATAGGGTTTTGGGGCCCATGACGCTACAGTATTGAAAGGAACCCACCAAAATAGTAAAGGTAATGATTCAGGCTTAAGGCCCCTATAGTAGACTTTCTTCCATTGCTTGGTCTTCTCGCTTCGGATCCTAAGCCCTGCTCAGTCCTCTGCCAACCCGGTGAGGAAGAGACCCGACGGCTTCTCCTGTCAAGACAGCTGTGCTTGGCGAAGCATACTACTTGCTACTTCATATAAGCAACAAGTATTTTAAGTATAGTATACTTGTTACTTCTTAGAAATAACAAGTACAAGTAGTATAAGTATAATACACTTATTGCTCATCACTGCTTGCCATCGCACAGAAGATTGTGTTGAGATAGGTCAGACAAGGACTGATGCCAAATCACGATTCCCAAACTGCAGCTAGAATGCACGCGGGACGTGCCTTGGGAGTTTGGCTCGCGCCTGGGCTCGCGCCGGACCTCGGCTGCCAGCCGGCAAAGCTCAGGCAAGGCCTTAATACTTAGAATAGGGTTTTGGCCCATATTATACTATAATTATAATACGGAACCCCCAAGATAGTTTACAGTATGGGTGATTATAAGCGTAACGACCTGGCTAGGGCCCCTGCTGCTCCTCTTCCTGCTGCCGCATTTGCTTCATAAGCTGCGCCAGCTTCTCCTCTCAAAAGCCAAAGCCAGGAACCAGACCAGCCGCAGCTTTCGAAGTTCAGATCCCCACCCCGCGGCAGAAGCCCCACTCTAAGCCTCCCTGGCCAGGCAGCCTATACCCCTAAAAGAAACAAAGCTTCCCGTCCTTGGTGGCAGCATCCTCGGGCTCCTTCATGAAGGACAAAGGCTCCTCCACGGGCTCCTCGAACCTCCGGGGAGGTGCGAGTCGAGGCTTCAACGCAATTCCGGCATCTCATAGGATAGGCTGCCGCATGCGACTGCAGGCACGGACATCTCGTCATTAGGCGTGCTGGCAGCGTGGCCTGTTTTCTATGGTCTGTTTCCGCTCCCGGAAGATCTGATCCAGCTCTTGCTCGGTGAGGTCGTCACTGAGGATGCCTGAGCAGGGATGGTGGAGATCACTTGTGACCCATGCCCTGAACGGAGTGTTTCACTGGAAGTTTCACCAAGCGCCGTCGCCAACCTTCCTGAGGAAATCCTGCAAACCGAAATCCAAAACAGTCGTGCGAAGCCCAGTGCGGCCAGCTCGCCGTCGGAGATGCCTCAGCAGGCACAGACACACAAGTCTGGCAGTGATCAACACGTCAGAGTCACTCGAACAGGAACACCTTTCTCGCAAGCCTTCGCAACGACCCAGGTTCGGAGATCAGCAGTTGAAATCACAAAATCTGAACTCCGAGCTAGGCCGCAAACCGTGTCCACAATCAGCCGCTCAATGCTGTGGATGCTTCCACCGCGGTCCCGACACTGCTTACTAAATCTTGATTGCGTGAACCCTCAAACAACATAAGGCAAGACTCCCAAGTGTTCTGCCACCGGCGCCGTCGTTGCGGGGGCGGACGCGGCGCGTGCCTGGGAGGTCTCTCTCAGTATTCTGAGTTTCTCCCTCTGCTCCCCAAAGTCTGAGCTCGCTGACGTTCATGGCCATTGCACCTGGAAAGACCCAGGGCTGTGGACGCTCTGAGTATCACTAGGTCAGGTCTGCATCACTGCATCACAAACCGGCCTGACCACTGAACCACCAGGGCATTGGCCTCCTCGTCGAGCTCGCCCAGCTGGGACCTGACTCTGCCCTCTATATATAGACGTATACGTATACGTGCATATATATATATATATATATATATACAGAGAGAGAGAGAGAGACAGAGAGAGAATGATACGGATACCGACACAACATGGGCATAGACATAGGTATAGATAAATATACAGCTATTGATATAAGTATAGGTATAGGTATAGATACAGATACAGATACATATATAGATATAGGTATACAAGTTCGCGTGTGTATACACATATATGCAAACAAGTACCGCACATACATACACACATACGTGCGTACATATATATATATATATATATATATATAAATATATACAGACAGGATTAGTTATTTACAGTTGCATTTACATGTTATATTCAGTTACATACAAACATAGTATACCCGTCAAATAATATAATTATAACATGGTGGGACCTCTGAGATTGAGGCATGCTTCTCGGCCGGCTGAAAGGGCCGGAGGTGCGGACGTCCCGGACTTTCTTCATTTTGCGGCCTCAGGCATCCCAGTTTTGGCACTCCGAGACGATGCTGGCACGCTGCTCGTGTCAAAGATAAGAGCAGGACTGTTCATCTTCAACTTTACACCGGGAATCTTCTCAGCCTCCACCCGAGCAAGGGAGCAGACTCCAGAAAGCAACTCTAGCTGTGCCACCGCTATGCACTGCAACGGGACCTTGGCAAAGCAGCCATTTCCTTTCATGTAGAAGGGCTTGATGTCCTGTTTTCAACAAGGTGCTACTGCACATCCTTATCAAGTGGTGCAGAGGGTCCTCGCTGACAACAGCGACATTTGGAACCGAAGGAACGGTCGCGCTGCCGCCACGTGTACATGGGTTGTCGCTGAGTCGCAGCACTCTCCTCGGTTGTGACTGGTGACGGCACGGTACGAACCCAGGCTTACGGTTCGCAATGCAGGGTCCTCTTGCCAGCAAGCGCATCTCACAGCTGATTTCAGGCGACTGAGATGCGCACAAGCTCTGAAATAGCTGGATGACTGGTAGGCTTGACACACCTCAGTGGACTTGCTCTGCTGGTCTCTACTCCGAAAGAATGAAGAAGTGCTGACGACGAGTGCGCCCTCCAACTCAGCCTTCTGCCCGTAATTTCGTTTGAAGACAGATCCAACCTTGGCAGAAGCAAAGAATGTCAGCCAGAGGGATCTAGACTCTAGAACGCATGTTGCTCCTTGGAAAAGTTTTAAAGCTGTCTCGCGCATTGCCAGAACTTTCTTGGACTGTTCGGAGATCAGCGGCTCGATGTGGGTACTGTTGCGGCCTAAATAGTCAGAATCGGGTTTTGGGGCCCATTGCAGTTTTGTTATAATAAGGAACCCCACAGTACTATTGGTTACTATATTACCCCAGTTTCCAAAAATAGGGGACCCTGATATAGCACCCTGAATACTAGGATCCTTATTACAAAGACCCCAAAAGAAGGTACCCCCAATTTCGGAAACTCCCATGTGGGTACCCCAGAGCTTTTCAACATCTCAGGGAGGGGCTCCTCCAGGTAGGGGAAGTAGCACAGCGTCGTCCCGCTGGCCGTGTCCGGCGCATCATCCTGGCAGAATTGGGATTTGCAGACTTTGACGTGGATGCATTGACAGCATCCGGCCGAAGGCCCGATGTCACGTCTCCTTCAAGCGCTTGACCCGGTTGGACATCAAGGACAGCTTGCGCAGGTGCGGGACAGCATCCAATGATCGCCTTGGCTGCGCGCTACTCAGCGAACGGCGCAAAAGATGATGTTGAACATGCACAGTGAGGACATTTGGCAATGCTTGTATGCTATGCAGCCTGCAAACGAGGACGGCACAGTCTGACAGTTGACTCTCCGGTTGGAAAACAAGGGCACAAGAAAAGCCACATTCCAGCCCCGGTGCCACTGCATGAATTGCACTAGGTCATTGGAGTCCAGGATAAGCTCCTCGAGTGCCTGAAGAAGCAGGTGCTTGCGAGTGGTCAGTATGAGACCTCACCGCAAGTACATAAGTATCATCATGACAAACCATGCGGATAGCACCGGCTGCCGTGAACTTGATGATCAACGCGGACATGGCGATTGAGATCATTTCCATTGCCAATGAACTAGGACAAGGATTAGAAAGACCTGACCCGCCCGTTAACAGCAGCATCCTCACCACCCTCGTCATGATCGACTCCGACAACATCGCCAGCAAAGGTGATGCCGCCATCATCATCATCATCATCATCAGCAAAATCATCATCATCATCATCATCTTCATGACCATCATCATGATCACCGTCTAGATCATCATCAGCCGCATCCGCAGCTTACCTCCTCCGCATCCATCATCACCAACGTCAGCAGCATGAGCAGGCGCAACAGCAGCGGCAGCGGCAGCGGCAGCGGCAGCGGCAGCAGCAGCTGCAACAACAGCAGCAGCAGCAGCAGCACTCAACAGCACTGCATGCTAGAAAAATCACCACCGTCGGCATCGTCACCTTGTCGAAACATCGTCGTCACACTATCATCAACAGCACCACCATCGCAATAGTCCTCAGCATCATCATCATCATCATGGCCAACATCAGCATCAGCGCGGTCGCTATCACCACCATCACCATCACCATCATCATCACTCCCACAATTGCAGTCATCCTTATCATGAATGTCACCATCATCAAAACCTTTTTCATCATAGCCTTCTTCGTGGTGGTCATCAGCATCATCTTAAGCACTGTCATTCTCATCAACGACATTGTATCCTCATGATTTTCGCCACAGTCATCAACAAGGCCGTGACACGCATCCTGATTCTGCTCATGTCCATCAAGTCATGCTACAGTTGGAAACGGTGAAGTCTTGGCAGGTATGTGCGCACATACGCTTCTGGCCCACGAACAGTGAACAGGATGGTTCCTTCCGGATGCCGTACACGTTTGCCAAACTCTGCAATGTATAAATGTCCAGCAGCTCTTAACTCCCAAAGCCGGCAAGCCCCTAGAGCCCACGAAAAAAAGCACACTCTACAATCCACCAGACCCGACACCCTCAACCCTAAACCCGACACCTTATAGTACCGTACCCTTTAAAGTATCCCTTATGGTAACCCTTATGAGCCACCTGGAGGCCGACGAGTTCCGCTTCCGGCGGCAGCGAGGAGATGCAGTTCGAGGCCAAGTTCAGCCAGACCAGGCTCGGGAGCCTGCCGCAGAGCTACGGGGAGAGTCGGTGAGGTGATATGCATGTGGTAAAAAGGATATGGATGTATGCTTGCCTGTATATACATACATATATATATATATGTATAGATGTAGGTATACATATACACATAAATATAAACATATGTGTACATGTACATATGCATATACGTATGTGTGTATATATATATGTATACATGCTGCACATAGTATACATATAGATATGTATATATATATATATATATACGTACATATATATATATATATGTGCACGCACATTTACACATGTCTACACATATACCCACACAAATATACACAGTATAAATACACATATACACAAATGCGTGTACAGTATATACATACATATATGTATGTGTGTATGGATACCTGAGCACGGTACCTGAGGGTCTGCTTAATTAGCTTCTACAAGACAAAACCTAGTCAACTGGTACGTCGCTAGGTGGCACATTGCACATCTGAAACGCTGACAACACCGGTCCACACGACGACGCTGCCGATGCGGGTCGCGACCTGGCAAGCTGGCCAAGAACATCTCCATGCAGACCGTTGAAAGAGAGGTCCAGCACCTGAATTGGCAAAGAAGTCACGTAAGTTCAGACTCAGACGTTGATGCTTTTCTGGAGTGATTAAAGATCCGATGCATGTATGTGTTTATATCTGCGTGCGCACTCAAATAGCGGAAGAATGTGTTTCCTTGTTGCACATGCTCATTCTTGCAGGCGTGGTTACTGGCGACGACAACAATAATGATATTGAACGGTAGCAGTAGAAGCAGCTGCAGCAGTAGTAGTCGTAGTAGTAGGAGTAGTAGTAGGAGTAGTAGTAGTAGTAGTAGTAGTAGTAGTAGTAGTAGTAGTAGTAGTAGTAGTGGTCGTGGTAGTGGTAGTGGTAGTGGTAGTGGTAGTGGTAGTGGTAGTGGTAGTGGTAGTGGTAGCGGTAGCGGTAGCGGTAGTAGTAGTAGTAGTAGTAGTAGTAGTAGTCGTAGTAGTAGTAGTAGGAGTAGTAGGAGTAGTAGTAGCAGGAGTAGTTGTAGTAGTAGGTGGTAGTAGTAGTAGTAGTCGTAGTAGTAGTAGTAGTAGTAGTAGTAGGAGTAGTAGTAGCAGGAGTAGTTGTAGTAGTAGGTGGTGGTAGTAGTAGTAGTAGTGGCAGCAGCAGCAGCAGCAGCATCAGCAGCAGCAGCAGCAGGAGTAGTAGTAGTAGTAGTAGTAGTAGTAGTAGTAGTAGTAGTAGTAGTAGCAGTAGCAGCGATGGTAGTAAACTCTTACTCGTACTTTTCACTGGTAGTAGTAACCAGTATCACCACGTGAGAGAGCATATACTGCAACAAGTAATGTGAATTCTCAGCCCTCAACACTAGCCCCGAGTCCTTGAACCCTAAACTGTGCTGGAGCCTCCAAACTCTGCAGGATCCCGGCTCCCACCTGAACCAGGGCTCAACTCTTCGGGGGCTTTGGGGCTTCAGCAAGGGAGAGGGGTGATCTTTTGGGGTTTAGGGTCCAGCTTAGGGTTCCGGGGTTTGGGAGTAGGACTAGGATTTAGCATTTCATCATTAGCTCAGGGCGTATGTTTTAGAGATGCCCCGACCCGAAGCCCCGGAAAGCCTGAAGCCCTTGAGCTCACTTGCGCCTGCAGCGAGGTGATGGAGTTGCAGGCCAGGTTTAAAGTGCCCAATCGCGGGAACCGAGCGATTTGCTCGAGAAGGTGCTCGTAGCCTTGAGGGTCCGTCAGGCATCCGGGGGTTCAGGGAAGAGGGGTCCATGGTTGTGGTCAGCTGTGGTCGACATTTCACGAGATATGGCGTGTATGGCTGATGATGGCTGGGGTTTTGTGACCGAGGCCCTCCAGATGATGCAGTTACATTTCTTTTACGGCCGCCAATGCCTTCTTGACAAATCCCATACTCCAGTGCTGGCGCCTGTTTGTGCACTTTTTAGTTTCTCGTGTCAGTAGTATGTCGCCATATTCTGCAGGATATCCAAAAGGATGCCCTCGCTGTAGCTCTGGTCCTGATCCCTTCACCTGGGGCCCGATCCCAGCTGATTGTCGCTAAGGTCCACCCTGTCGAGGTGGGTGAAGAAGGACAAGTCCTCCCGGCCACTCTTCAGTGGGAAATAGGAAACAATGACGGAAACACGATCATTGGAAGCAGAGGGACAAAGCTGCTACTGCTACTGCGGCTATGACAACGACGACGACCATGACCAGTAAGTCGTCATCACAAGTTGTAGTACGTATGCGACTTATGCGACGCGTACGACTTGTATCACCTCTACTTCTTATACCACTTATACGACTTGTAACAGCTGTACTACTCAAACTACTGATCATGCTCGCAATACTCTACTCGTACTGCACTTATCTCTGCTTACTCTCTACTCACTATCGGCTTATTCTCTACGCATCCTACTCGTACTACTTCTCCTGCTTAGACTACGTATTACTTATAGTCCCTACTACTTCGATTACGACTGCGACAGCCACTATCACTGTGGCTACAATCAGCGAGCTGGGACCGATGCCCGACGCACCACGACGACGACGGCTGCTGCTGCTGATGCTGGTGCTGGCTCTTCGGCAAAAAGGTCGTCACAGTAATGATGACTGAAGCTGCCTTAGGAACTTTGTAGAGGGAGGTAGAGGGAGATGGGGCTTCAGATTGACGAAAACGAGCTTGAGCTGAGCAATTAAGCCCAACTCTGAACCCCACGAAAGGGAATGAAGCCAAAAAGACTCAAGGGTTGACTGAGCAAAGTGGATGTGGTACCATGGACCTACCTCTTCGGCGATGTCCACGATCTGCAAAGAGGACAGATTCACGGTGATCACCTCAGCTCCACCATCTTCGGCGTCAGTGTTGTGCAAACAGCTTGGGTAGTTGTGGGTTCTGGTTTAGAGGTTTAGGGGTTTAAGGTTTTTCTTTGAACCCTCTTTTCCTCCTGCCTGTTCGGTTAGCTGGAATGCCATTCTGGCTGGGGGGCCTGTTCGGAGATATGCTGAGGGGATTCACCACCCTAACCACACTAGCTTCCCACCTATAGTGCACCCCATCGCCGGACCAGGGCAAATGGCTTCATGACACCCGGGGTGCACATGGCTGTCAGCTTCCTGCCTCTTAAGCAGCTTCTTGCCACTCTGAAGCTGGCAGGCTGGAGTGGATACATAACCCTCAGTCCTCCGACTACATTTGACTTATAATACAACGTGACGGGGTTTAGGGTTGGGGGTTTAGGGTTCAGGTGGCCAGGAGATGGCATTGCACACTGAAAGAAAATCCACAATGGTCGTGGGGCTTGACTTTCACAAGGTAGGGTGGAACTGCAGAACCCTCCACAGAGTGCCACCAGGATCTACTGGCAGACACAGAATTCACAAAAGCAAACAGGATCTACTGCAGCCTACTACCCCGAAGGGATGGTCGTCCACAAAACGGTGATTATGCGGTGTTACCAGGAGGGATACTGCAAGGACTACTAAAAGGATTTCTGCAAGGCTACTTACAAAGAATATACGAGGATACAAGGGTTACTGTAAGGGTGACTGCAAGGGATAGTATGAGTGATACAAGAAGGTTTTGAGGCAGCGAGCGCTAGCTAGCGAACAAACAGGGGCCCGACCCCCTCGGGTTGTCCAGAACCGCCGGCTGCAAGCAGCAGGAAGCCATCCAGCAGCCTGGCAGCACAATCGTAGGCTGCCGTCTCTTTGAGAACTTCACTAGACTTCAACCCTTTGAAAAAGCCCCAGTCGGTGCGAAACGGCAGCTTGGTCGAAGTGTGGCTGAAGGAAAGCTCGGCTTGGGGATCAGAGTCCAGAGCCCAGCGAGCCTCCCCTCCACGTACTCCTGCTGTGCCATCTTCTATGCGGTCTCAGTGCAGGCTGGGAGTGGAGTTGGGGTCCCGTGCTCGGCTCACGGTTCGGGGGTTGGTCACGCGGGGCGGCGGCAGGCGAAAGCCCTCCGCCTGCCATTCTCAAGCCGAGCGGCCATTTTCTCCAGCAGCTGCGCAACCTGCAGGGGTCAGGATCTTGAACTTCAGTCCTGGGGCCCAACCCTGCTCCGAAGTTTGAAGGTACAGGACACCGGGGATGAGCCATCGATGGCATCAGTTTCCGTGACCTGCTACCATCTACTACCTCTCTCACTGTGCCTTGGCCAGCTGCGGCGCTCGACCGTAGGCTCCGAGCTAGGCAGGCGAGCACGTACTATGTTATTACTGAGTCCTCGATACAGCTGCAGGATCTGACTGGTGAGGAAGGTAATGCTTTGCAGCTATTCAGAATACCCTCGGATCAGCAGAGAACAAAAGGAAGCTTGCAGATAGCCTCCAGAGCATGCATCATGCTGCCCAGACGTCTTTTGGTCTCTTGGGTGAAACGAAACTAAAGCACTCTGTAAGCCAACACAAGTGCGACGGCCGCGAACCAAAGGCACTTCGAACTCTGGCGCAAGCAGCTGCTACAGCGTATCCGTGCACTCAAAGCAGAGCTGAAAATAAGGGTTACTATAAGGGTTCCTATGAGGGCCACTATGAGGACCACTATACGGAGAGCAGAGTATTTTGATCGCTTTCGACGAAGAAACTCTGAAGCTCGGCGCTCCCACCTGGATGGAGGGCCGAGATGTAGTTCTCAAAAACCGAGTACTGCAGGGTCGCCTCGCGGTTCGGGGCCGGGAGGCCACAAAAAAGCAAAGGCTTCGGCTACGAGTCCTCTGCTCGCGCGGTTCGTAAAGGGAACCGTATCATAGAACCTGGTTCCCCCTTAAAGGGAACCCACAAGGGTCCCTTTAAAGGGTACTATAACGGTTCCCCCCCCTTAAAGGGAAACCTATGAGAACCGGGGAACATCTGCCCCGGAGTTCTCTGGCTTTCTGCGAACCGGGAGGTCTGGGCTTGGGATCCGCCATAGCGAATTCCTCGAGTAGAACTATCGCGAAGGAATCGCAAGGCTTGCAAAATAGGAGAAGTAGTAGTAGTAGTAGTAGTAGTAGTAGTAGTAGTAGTAGTAGTAGTAGTAGTAGTAGTAGTAGTAGTAGTAGTAGTAGTAGTAGTAGTAGTAGTAGTAGTAGTAGTAGTAGAGTACGGAGTACGTAGTACGTAGTACGTGGTACGTGGTACGTGGTACGTAGGACGTAGGACGTAGGACGTAGGACGTAGTACGTAGTACGTAGTACGTAGTACGTAGTACGTAGTACGTAGTACGTAGTACGTAGTAGTAGTAGTAGTCGTCGTCGTCGTCGTCGTAGTAGTAGTAGTAGAAGTAGTAGTAGTAGTAGTAGTAGTAGTAGTAGTAGTAGTAGTAGTAGTAGTAGTCGTCGTAGTCGTGATCCGTGTATGACAGTCAAAAGAGTGCATCGGAAGATCATACTCTGCTTCGGGTAACCTTCCAACAGCTCGTGCCTTCTTGACGGTCTCTGCATCAACGGCACGGCCATCTGCGTCCCGCTCCATCCTTCGGGCTGAAAAGGGCTGGTGGCTGTTAGCCAAAGGCAGCCTGGTTTTGGCGACTATGTCTACCTATAAAGTCGGTGCGATGCCTAGCAGCTCCGAGCCCTAGCTGTGGGTTGCTTCTAGCACATAGCGGCTGAGGACGAGACGTGTCCAGCGTGAAGCGAGTGAGATAGAAAAATGCCTTGCCAGCGGCCAGCCGACAGGCAAGAAGACAACTTTGCGCTGTATCGAACACCACCCTCTCTGCTCGTGAGCATCAAAACTCTGCGTGCCCGGCAGCCGGCACGCCCATGAGGCACACGCGTGCCTGCAAGTCCCATGAATGGCATTTGTCTCACCCTGATACAAGTAGCTAGCGCTGTCATGCCGGAGAGCCACCTCCTCGTCGTAGTGGTTGCTGCTGCCCGTACCCAGGTTGTTCAACACGGTGAAAACTGCATCCATGTTGTCTGGGTACCTGCCAAGTTCGCTGATGGTCACGAGATATCGATATCACGAACGTGGATAGACAGCCCGTGTTCAAAATGGAAAGTCAGCATCACCTTACAGCTTGTCTGTACCTGCTGCCAGACGCTCCTGTGCGACGCAGCCGCCCAAGACATGCCGGCAGAGCGGAGTCTGCAGCAAGTGCTGGCGGAACCACGGCCAGTCGACGCGCCGGTCGCCTGAGATGACTTCAGTGGTAACCCAAGGTTAGAGTTAGGGTCTAGGGTTAGGGTTCAAGAGAGAGTATAGCAGATGAAGGCCCTCGCAACCTCCAAGGCAACAGACGGTGCTGTGTAGTACTGTAACGTGCCAAGCAGTGCACGCTCGTCGACCAGGTTGGAACAGTCGAGGTATTTCCATGCCAGCCTCTTCTCCTGTTACCACATCGGCTGTACTCTGTGGAGAACATTCTTGCAGAGGAACAGAGGGCGGCGATCCTGCTCGTCCGGATCCATGATGCCCCGCGCCAGCCATCCCAGAAGCGCGGTACATGATAGCACAAACCTGGCAAAAGCCTCCAGCACAGCGCATCTGAAGAGTGCAGGTCATGGAATCACTCTGCTTCTGGCAGACGGGCACTGGGTGCAGGGCCATGTTGCACTGGTCAGCTCGCCCAGTGGATGGAAGAGGCCTGCAAGGAAAAATGCAGCCTAAAGACGAAGGACGACCGCGTGCCAGGCGTATCGGAGATATCGGAGCCTCCTCCCATGGGCTCCAAGCAACCATGCCCAGCAAAGGCTCAGATCTTAGCCCTGAGAAGATTGCCAGCGCTGACTGTAGTTGCTTTATGCTTTGGAGGGGTACAGAGATGCATAAAGATCCGGGAGGCTGCTTCCCAACAATCCTGCCGCTGCTGTTCCCATGCCCATGCGACTGCACCTGCTTTGGAGGCCTTGGGAATGTCACTAGAACTTTCACTTCTTCACTTCCCTGTCGCTTGAGAGGCATCAGTCTTGGGAATGCCTCCTTCTTCTATCCTGCAACAAAACGTCGTCCTTAGCAGTTTCCGGCGACTCCATGTCGAGTCTTGATGGTATGCTTAAGAGATCAAGGGTGTGTCGAACTGCCTGCGGACCGCAGGTGCTGACGAGCCCTGATGCAGCATCGGATCCGGCTTCACTTCAACATCGATGCTAAAGGACATGTTTGAAGGCACCAGCTCGGGCTGCGGCTACAACATCTTCACATGTGGTAAGCATGATCATGCAGTCCCCTGTTCTTTGAGCTGAAAACCGAGATACCGACGTTTCCTGTTCCTGCCACACGGTTCTCAGGGTAACATGTCAGGACGGCGCTTGTGTCGATTGTGTGCCCTTGAGACTGCACTCGATATGGTGCTGCCGGAAGGAAGATCAAGCCGGAGGTTACAAGTTCGTGGGTCGACAGAGATATCTGGCTGCATCTGTCGTCGGGCACTCCTTTGGCCGTCGTCTTCCAAAGCCGCCGGAAGAGGGCTTGGAAATGAATCTTCGAAACAGGATGGCAAGCGGTAGAGCCCTGAATCCCCGACCCGAAAACAGTGTCTACTGACTCCTGCCGGGGGCCTCGGCTGGACCCGAAAAGAGAACAGACTCCAAGCTCCACTATATGGGCCTTAATATCTAGAATAGGGTCTTGAGGTATATTCTACTATAGTTAAAACAGGAATCCCCAAAACCCTGTTCTAATTAGTAAGGCCCCTACATTCTAGAACCTCACTATAGATCCCTTATAGTAACCCTTATCGACCCTTTTAAAGGAACCCTAGCCTAATTATTAAGGCGAACCCTACTATAGATCCCTTATCTCTCCCAAGGCCAAAGGTCCTGGAGGCGGAGACCCAGCTCCTCAGCACGCCGCTCTGCCTTTGAGGCGGGGAAGGGGAACTTCGACAGCTTCTGTGGCTTTGTTCCTTGGCTTCAGGTTTTTGTTTTGCTTCAGGGCTTTCAGGTCTAGGGCTTTAGGGTTTTAGGGTTTAGGAAATTTGGGTTTAGATCTTCACGGTTTTAGGGTTTAGGGTTTTAGGGGCTTGGGGGTTTTGGGGGCTTGGCTGACTCCGGTACTATCATATAGGGCCCTTGATAATTAGAATGGGGTTTTGGGGACCCATGATATCACCATAATAAGAGCAAGGAACCCCCAAAATAGTCTTGGTAATTACCCACATCAATACGGCTGTCTTTTGATGATGGTAAGATCCCATGCGTGCTGTGATTTGGTGAGCATATTCAACCCAGGATTGGGCAGGGTCGGCAGGGTCGAGTACCAAGCTACTCAATACCGCAAAACGATGTCCTTTTTCATGCCCTCCGCCATATGGTTTCCTTGCAGCAGACGCTCGACTTAGTTGAACCGAGTGCTTCCGGCAATGTGCGTGACACTTGTACCTGTCACAATGGCAGTTCTCCTGCTGAAACCCATGATCATGCCCAGTTTATAGCAACAGCTTACAGTATACCAACCATATATAAGCAGACATACAGCATAGTCTGGGAATTGGAAATACAGAGTCTCTTGATATTGAAATAGAACCCCTAACCTCTAAACCTGCCTAAACCCTAAACGAGGTACCCCTAGACCTCAAGATCCCGCCAAACACTAAGCCCTAAACCCCAAAGCCTAAACCCAAACCCTAAACCGCATCTCAAGATCCCCCTAGACACTAAACTTACTAAACCCTAAACCCCAAAGCCTAAACTCTAAATTTAAACCCCAAACCCCACCTCAAGATCCCCCACATGCTCCGCTTGAGCTCCCCGACTTTGGCAGCTCGCTGCCTCTCCTTCGCCAGGCCGTCCTTCCGCAGGCAACGAGAAACGTGAGCTTCCCTAACACCCCAAAACCCCAAACCTAAAGCCTAAAAAGAAGCACAACCCAAAGCCTAAAGCCCTGCTCCTAGAATCCCTGAAACACCCGACTCTTAGAAGAAAACCTCAACTCTTACCCAAAATCCCTTAAACTCTCACTCTTAAACAACTCCTACTTGAAGGATCATGGGACTTAGTAACTAGGGTTATGATTATGCTAACTTTTCTTACAAGTACTTATAGTCCCAATTAAGGTACCTATAACCATACTTACTAAATATAGAACCCTTATGGATCCCTTGAAGGAACCCTATTCTAGAACCCAATAGTACGCTTATTAAAAGGAACCCTAGACCATGCTTACTAAGTCCCATGATCCTCCAAGTAAGAGTTTTGGGCTTCGCTCAACTTTTGTTGCTGGGAGCCTCGAGCTGCCGCAGCTCTTCTCTCAGAGAATCCCGCGCTTGAGCAGCATCCACACGCCTAGGTTTAGGGTTTTAGGGTCTGTTTAGGGTTTAGGGTTTTAGGGTTTAGGTGTTTTTTTTGAACCCTCTTTTCTCCCCGCCTAGGTTAGGTTGGTTGAATGCCACTGGTGGCTGAGGGGTGTACTGGGAAGCACAGCAAAGAGGAAATACCCAAATTAAGCAGGGTGTAGGGTTTAGGGTTTAGGAGGATCACAAGTACCAGCCAAAAAAAAGGGGGCGCTAATAACTAGAAGAGGGTTCCTGAAAAGGGGTCTATAAGGGATCTATAAGGGCACTATAATGTAAGGGCCTTAATAATTAGAATAGGGTTTTGGGATATCTTATACTATAAATATACTAAGGAACCCCAAAATAGTATAGGTAATCCTTAAGGCCCCTATATTTCCAGCTACAGTACAAGCGATTTGGATTGCTAGTACTGCTGGTCAAGTATCACTGTTTGTGTGATCGTTAGTATTCTGCTAAGGATCAACATTCATGGAATTACTCTGAGGTTCAGCCGTTTTGCTGTTGTCATTAGAACTATTGTTGTTACAGTGAAAATTACTACATGAACCTGATCATGATTACGATTCTCGTCATAAGTACAGTTGTGCTCGTTGTTTGTGGCATCATCATTATTGCTGCTGACATTGCTTGACATTGTATGATCAACTCTCTGCACACCCGCCGGGCCTACGCCGCCTCCGCTAAGCCCCAGGCAACTTCTCGCTTTCCCCGTACCGGCTTCGCAGCCGGTCCCGCTCTGCCTCCAAAGCAACTGCGATAAACAAGAATAACGATGACAATGAAATAATGACAAAAATAGCGACAGCAATGACAATGAGAATAATTCTAATTACTATTGCTGTTGATCTTATTAGTGCTTTTCAACCAATCTAGGTGCTAAGAATAAAAATACTGTAATAGCAATAACAACAACACCTATGCTAATAACCGTAATCATCGGAGCTGGCGACTCAAAGAGGATAGGCATCGCCGTGCAGAGTGGTGGATTGCGGCAAACAGTGCATGGCGGTCAGTTGGGTTGTTGTCAAAAAATCTTATTATAGTACAGCACCTATTATTTAGGGTACCCAGAAAGAGGCCATATTTTTGACAACCACCCATTTAGGCCATGAAGCTCCATTCCAGGAAGCTGGAAGGCCTAAGACTTCAGAAAATTTCGAGACCTTAAGCTGCTGCAGCCTCGAGATCTTGCAGCTCGCGCTGCAAGGAACGGTCGGCCGATGTCCGCGCTCGAGCATTCTGAAGCTCCTCTCCTCGTTAGGGAACGAATCGTTACACATCAAGCTTTAGTGGTGTCGCATAGCTCTTGTCCTTCTGTAGTAGTACATCTGTCGGTTTTGCTCGTTGTAGAGACTTTGATGTGAAACCACAGCCGTTGGAAGTGGGCTAAGCCTCGCACGGAGACCATCACACCTGACTCCAGCGGGATTCAGACTACTTGACTCCTCATCTGGCAATGCATCTTTCCCTACGATGCTTCTAGGAGCTGAGATCTGGACTGGAGCTGAACACTTGCGATCCTTGGCAGACATTCAAAAGATTGATTCTCAAACGACTATGGCGGTCCATCCATGGTTAGAAGTACCCTAATTGGGGTTATAAGTAATTGTAACTATAGTTACCATATTTATAACCCCAATTACTAAGTCCCATGATATTCTGCCGAGCTTCCGGTCTTCGAGTCGCGCACGATCGGCCTCATCACACCGAAGCTGGGCAAATCCTAGAACGCATTGCCGAGGTAGTGATCCTCTGCGATGAGCCCTGCCACCGTTCGTTGTGGTTTGCTGGCTGAGTTAGAGCAACAAACCGAAGGAATGAGATCATCCTACACCATGAAGCTAAGCGAACCGAACTTCCCGAAGGACGGCTCCCGCCTCATTTTGCTGGAGCTTCCTGAGAGCCTGGCTGCATGGAGAGTTAGGATTGAGGCTTTCCTAGTAGGGTTCAGGCTTCAGAGCTTGGGGTTTAGGTTTAGGTTTTCGGGTTCAGGGCTGGAGGCTTATAAGGTTTAGGGCTTAGGGCTTCGGCAGATTCAACAGACGGAAGTGGGGAACCATTCCTCTCCCCACAGCCAGACTCAGAAAGAAGGACGACCACGAGAGCCAAGCTCATGAAGACCCCTCTGAAAGCTTAGAAACTCTGGCATGCTTCAGTGAAGGATCCATTGAAAGTGTACCAGACTGAATAGAAGACGCACACTACTTTACGAGATTAGGTAAGGAAGATAAACGAAAAAGCTTCCGTTAGCTGGTTGTGAAGTCAAAACTCAATTTGAGAGAAGATGCGAGGGGGTAAGACATGATAAAGTCTATGGGTGTGGGGCTCAGGGTTTGCAAACATCAAACCTGAAGGTCAGGTGATATGGCTGTTTCCGAAAGTAGGGGACCCTAATATGGTACCCTAAATAGTAGGATCCTTATCATAAGGACCCCAACAGAAGGTACCTCTACTTCAGGAAGCTCAAGCTCCAGGCACAACACAACGATCAGGATCCGCATAGAGATCCAGGTCAGGACCAAGGAAAGATACGACCAGACGCGACCCCGTTGGGCCCCACGGGTATGCAGAGCTGCGAAAGCAGACTTAAGTATGGAGCAGCTGAGATCAGGAGAGATACGGTCAGATGAGGCGAGGCGAGGAGGAGGCGAGGCAAGATACAGCAAAGCCAGGCTAGACTGCTAGACAGATCAGACGAGATGAGGTGGGCTATGAAGCAAGATGAGATAAGACAGCAAGACAAGACAACATCAAGGTTGCACCCCAATGTAGGGTCTTGGTAAGACCGGACCGGCCCACCTCTTCCTCTCGGTCCTGGCTCGCTGCCAACTTAGCCTGTCATGCGGCGCAAGGCTTGCAAGCTGAAGAGTACAGTACAGCCAATGTTCTTCGCTCTGATGCCGGATCAAGCGACATTGACACTACAAGAACTAGACTATAACTCAGGACATGAGTCAAGACTGCGGTGGGCTGTGGAGGTGGACATCCCGGAATAAGCACTCCAGCTGCAAGCTCTCTTTTCGTGGAGCCAATCTTCGCCTCTGCGCGAAACGCCTCGCACTGGGGAAGTAAGGTACGACAGCTTCCAGAACCGCTGCAAAGCTTTTCTTTTTGGGATTTTGAGGGAAGTACCCAGCTAATGTCTCCACCACAAACCCACACCCTAGCCCTTCCCAGGGCCACAGGTCGAGACCGCTCCGAGAATGCTAATTAGTTTTAGCCCCTTGTACTGCTCTGAGTCTCTATCAAAACATGGACTACAACGTATCCGACATTGAAAGGAAGCCCTTTTGGAAGCTGCCAAGGCAAGCAGGACCTGCAAACGCCAAAGCCCACATGTGCTACCTGTAGCCTACCATGGCAGGGCGCGGCACGCCCTTGCCCCCTACAGGCAAGCCATCTTTCAGCAGAGCCGAAGTGCCGCCTTTCGGAATTCAGAACAGGCTGTTCGAAAAGATGCCTATGCTTGGGTTTAGGGCTCGTTCTTTGGGCGGTTGGCTTTCGCAAGGGTTCCGAACAGAGTCGGCGGGCTGCTGATACTCCATAAGAACAGTAAACCTGCGGCTTTCTGTCAAGACATGTGGAAACTGATATCGGCTTGGTGGTTCATGACTTCGTGCAGTTCGGTTCCCTGTCTGACGCTTACCTGGGGACAAGCTAACTGGCTGCGAATCCACTCCTATTTCTACCTCCCACGTAAGTCATGACGCACACAAACCAGGTCTCCAGTGTAGGATTTAAGGGCTCTGCTTCGTAATGGCCGGTTTCCTTCCACACCATCCGAGCGTCCAGAAGCTCGTATACAATATCTCATCATATCGTATATGTATATACCTACACACACATGTACCCATATACATCGATGGTCACATATGTATATATATATATGTGTAATATATACATACACATGCATACATCCATGTACATATGTGTGTGCATGCAGAAGCATGTCGATTTTATGTGTGTGTACATACATATACATGTATGTATGTGTGTAATGTACGTATGTATGTATGCATGCATGTGTGTGAGTGTCTGCGTATGTGTACGTGTATGTGTACGTGACGTGTAGGTGTATGAGTATGTGTATGTATATGCATATGCATCTGTAAAAATTTGTACGTGTATGCGTACACGCGTCTGTATGTATGTATGTATGCACGCATGCACGTACGTTTGTATGTATGTATGTGTATACATACACACGCATATGCATATATTATGATTATTGTATGTATACATATATATATATATATATATACATATTCTTGGAGATGCTTTGACCCAAGCCCCAAGCCTGAACCCTACCCCTTGGTGCGCCTTTGCCCTTGCCCTTGCCGTCCAGGCCCTTGCCAGTCGCCAAGCCCATGCGTCTCCAAAACCCAGGCTCTTCCTGCAATCTGGGCAAAGGCTGGGTCTCCAACAGCAGATGGGGGTTTCCGAAAATAGCTGACCCTCATATAGTACCCTAAATAGTAGGATCCTCATTATAAGGACCCCAAAATAAGGCACCCCTAATTTCGAAAACTCCCAAGTGGCTTCCGTACCATGAGCAGCTTCGAATGTTCAAGCCTCAGTGGAAGCAGCGACTCGACAACTCTGTTGGCACATGATGCGCCGAGGAAGATGATACCGGCACCAAGCAGAAGTGATGGTGATGAGGAGAGGAGGAGGAGGACAAGTACAAGGATCAGCCGGAGCGGATGAGTATGGCTGTGTGGATAATAATGTTGGTGCCGAAAGTCAGAAGGAAGATAGGAAGATCAGGATGAGGATGAGGACGATGATGCTGATGACAATGACGACGACCAAGATCATGATGGTGATGATGATGCCGAAAATGCAGAGGATACTGATTTAGATTGAAAAGAATATGATTGTGATGATGGTGATACTGATGTTGCCGATATTTGCTGGCAAGATGACAAGGAACAGGATGAGGATGACGACGACTGGGACGACGAGGACGCCGAGGACGACGACGTCAAGGCTACGGCGACAACTACGGGTCACCACTGTCGGTCTCGTTGTAGCTTCGCTCAAAGAAGAAGGCTTGCAAGTCGCGTCAATCCCACTCCCCTGCAGAGAACTCCTCCACCGGCCGGTGGAAGCCGAGCTTTTCCCAGTCCACCTAAAACGAGCGGGGACGAACCCGAAGGGGACTTCTTCAATCAAACGACATGGATCTCACATTAAGTGATGCAAGCCCCAGACCTGAGGGGACCTTCTACGATATGGTGGGCCGTCACCAGAAGGTGCAGCTGTGTGCGAGTTGCGTTCAACGGCCGATCCCGTCATAAAAAGTCTTGAGGTCCTATTCCCTCAGCTGCGGCCTCACGACCTTTCATGCCATGGGTCTGAAACCCGCTTCTTCTCAATATTCCAAGTACTGTTACCATTCTTGTTATTATTACTAATAATATTGCTATTACTATTGTTACCGTTGTTGTTAATATGATTATGACTACTGTGACTGAAGCGATGCGGAAGCTCTCCCAAAGCCTAGCACCCCTGCAGCTGACCTATATTTCTTGGCGCACCTTACCGGTGAGGCCGCCATCGTCTCCGCCCCGGCGTGCAACACCCTCGGGCCTCTGGTTGTAAGGGTTCTTAGAGTTTAGGGTTCAGGGCTTAGGGTTTTGGGGTTCAGGGCTTCAGGTCTAGAGTCTAGGGTCAGCAAGCTTCACTAAAGCAATACTATGCTGTTTATGTGAAGACTTTGACCGAATAGCCATGCAAACGTTCACCAACTTTGCAATTTGACTCTCGCAGCCACGAACTCTTGGTTCTCATGGTCCCTGGACCGATTTCTTTGGCACCTCCGGAATCTCAATCGATCCTCTGATTTGGGAGTTTCCGAAATTTTGGGTACCTTATTTTGGGATCCTACACTTTAGGGTACTATATTAGGGTTCCCTATTTTAGGAAACTCCCATTTTCCTGGACCTGATCCGATGCGCCGGCCCGCAGCTGGGGCCACTGCAGCGGGACGGGCTCGAGGCCCTGAGGTACCGAGCCTGAAGATGACGTAAGTAGAAAGAAACTGACTAGTAATAGTAATGGTAATAGCACTAGTAATAGTAATAGTAATAGTAAGAACTAATAACAACAGTAATAATAAGAATGAGAAGATGGCGGAAGTAAAGGTGGCTCAAGACCTGTACTACATGGGAGCCTCATATAGTACCCTAAACAGTAGGATCCCTATTTAAAAGGATCCCAAAACCCTAATTGTGGGAAACTCTTATGTCGATGGTACCCTCTTCCTTCAGATCAATGCAATGCTGCCTGGTTCGAGCACGCTGCCGCCAGGACCTCGGATCTTGTTCAGGATCTTGCGGCACCTCGGCCGCGCAGAAACTGTCATAAGGCCACGAGGCGTAAAAACGAGATCTTATATATGTATATGTATATATACATATATATACATATATATATATATGTATATATATATATATATATATATGTATATATACATATACATATAGGTAGACATATATATATATATATAGATATGAAGCTCGAAGATCCTGCAGTGCTGAAGACATCTTGGGGCAGCACTCGTCGTGCGCATCACGCGTCATCTGCGGCAGCGCCTGCACCGCAATGAGCAGCAAAGGCCCGGATGCTGCTCGACTTCATGTAAATCCCTTAAAGGGTCCCTAAGAGGGCCTTCTAAAATCCCTCCAAGGATCCGCACACGGATCTCATAAAGGATTCCTAGTTGGACCCTAACTGAGAGAACCCGACCAACATCGACACCTTGCCCTGCCTTGGCCGCCGTGCTGAAGGAGGCTTGGAAAAATCGCTCTGAGCGCACCTCAAGCTTGCCGATTATCCTGATCTAGACCATGTGTAGCTATGTATAGTTGTATATTTTCTGAAGAATAACGTATTCTAGTGGAGTGTGTAGGGCTCAGGGTTTCGGGTATGGGTTCGAAGTAGGATGTTCAGGGTTTCCCGGCTTGGACCGTACACATGCCGTGCCAATTTCAAACAGCCTTTTGAGAGGGTTTCCACACTTCCCGGCGACGAGAAAAACACGAAAGCGGCAATTAGCGAGAGCAAGCACTGATATGATGCGCGACAACCGTAACAGTCCCGAATACTGAGCAGAGAGGCTTCATGCGTACAGCAAAACCCGATTCGTCCAACAGTCTTGCTTTAATAAGATTGCGAAGTGAAAAGTACCACTCCTGTTGAGGTTTTGTCATGTTTCGAGAAGAACGTTCTTCGGCCAACTTACCTTTCTCCTTCTCGTTGCGCTTTACATGCAGTTTGTTACAACATAACCTCTTACATGTAGGGTTTCCGATAATTAGGGGACCCGAATATGGTACCCTAAATACCAGGATCCTAATTTTTGCGGACCGCTTGTTAAGGAATCCCTTTTTTTCGGAAACTCGCACATGACCGTTGTGGTGCACGGGCTGACCACGCAGCGCGCCTTGAAAGCCCTCTTGAGGGCCCGGCCCCTTTATTCAGTTTGGTGATGGAGGCCATCTCCTGCAGAGTAAGCAAATAATATGTAATATATATATATATATATGCAGATATACATGTACATATGCATGTGAACATAAACATAAATGCAAATGATAAGTGTGTATATATATATATATATATATGTTTATATGTATACACAATATGTACTATGCTATGCACAGAGAGAGAGAGAGAGAGATAGAGAGAGAGAGAGAGAGAGAGAGAGAGCTGTAGGATGGGCGGGCAGTGTTGGACAAGGCTCCTTCGCTATCTTGCACTACCGAGTCACGCGGGCCTCCATGGTGAGTTTAAAACTGAACAGCTTTGTGTTCTCAAGGATGTGGTTGGGATTCCAGCCTCAGGGATCGAGTCAGAAGCATTACAACTGACTGCGCGGACCACTGTCGCACGCTAGGCGTTTTGAAGCCTTGCAATTCTGCGGCAAACCAAAAGCGCAGAGGCCCTCCATCTCTCAAATTTCGAAACAAGATCTTTACCTTCCACTCTCTGCCCTCCTTCATGCGCTTGCACAATGCCTTGCCGCTCACACTTGGGCGAGGCGGCAAACGGTTCAATGAACATCCAGCTTGCCCCTTCTTGCTCCTCTGTTCCCAAGCCTTAAGTAAGTGGAGAGATTACAGGTACAAGAAAAGCCGTCGACCCAGTCTCATGGCAGAAAACTTCACTGAGTTCCCCTTTTCTAATGAGCGAATCCTTGTCTGTGGGTCCTGCGGCTCTTAGACTCTTAGTCTTAGATGGTCTATTCTTCCTGACGAAATGGGTCGGCAGAGCCAAGATTTCGGTTGCTGCCTTTACGATTCTGCGAGGCTTTGTCTCACACTAAGCTGCCTTACAGGAGCAGGCACCGTCATCGCATCAGACAAGACACGCAAGCAACCCTAGGGCCGAGACACCGAAACCCTCACCTCTTATAAGCCCCTGTCTGTTCCTACTCAAAGGATCATGGGACTTAGTAACTAGAGTTATTATATTGGGGTAACTATACTTACAACTACTTATAACCCCTATTAAGGGACTTATAGCCGTAGTTACTAGGTCCCATGATCCTCCAAGTACTTGACCCGAAACCCTTTCTCAGGCCACGGGCTTTTCGGAACGATGCAGTGGCCGCGCTGCAGATTCCATCGCAAAGCCACCTCTTTCGCTGGAGCTCGTTGCCAAAACTCCCAAAGCCTAAAGGCCCTAAAGGCTTGGGAGCTTAGGGTCTAGGAGGTTTAGGCTCTAGTTGGGCTTGAGAGTTCATAGGCCAAAGCTAAGAAGGCTTTGCGAGAAGATCCCACAGGCCCGAAACTCCTCCCAGCCTGGGCTGCCGTGGCATCGTGCCGATTGGCGATGCTCTGTAGGAGCTGTAGCTCTGGCACCTCAACATGCGCTGCTCAAAACAGTACATTATTGTGTGTTATAAAATGTTATATATATATATATATATATATCCCATGATCTGCTTTCTTGACGATGGTAAGAAATAGTGAGACCCCTACGACGGCCCTACGAGCATGTATTGCGGTGATTCGGCCGACACAGCCGGCTAAACAGAAGCGATCTCAGGATGCATCATTGTCCAAAGTGCGAAGACCCCACAACTGCCCAGGCCTTCAGCAAGGGCCTCATTTCTCGGGCATCTGATTTCGTGAGCACCTGCGGCATAAGGCTGCGATTGCTCGTGATGGCATGCCGGTGACAAAGGCCGATAGTACCTGGAGCAAGAATGATTCGACCAGAATTGTACCATGAAAACATCAACCTGCTCTCGCAGCCGAAAGAAGGGAATGAGTAGAAGGAGTAACCCTAAACCCGAAAGCCGAAACTTGACGAGCCTTCAGGTAGGTCTCCACTTTATGAGGCGCTCCGAGTGGTGAGTATGCCAGGACCTGCCCAACGCTTCGGTGTCTTCGCGTGTCACGTGCCAAAAAGTGAAACCGGTGTGTTTTCAACCCAATACACTATACTAGACTTACTAGACCATACATCATATATTACAAAAGTACCTTATGCATACTTTCCGATAAAGACGATGTACCATGTAATATACATGACATCCTGTAAAATTATACAATGCATGTTGCTCATGATTTAAACGATATATACTACACTACATGTTACATAATCCGATTGTACAGTACATAATACATGCTTTGGCGGTATACTTTGGATTGCATATTGTACATTGTATGCTATACAATATACACGATATCCTATATCCTACATTACCCATTTTACACCGCATCGTATATGTTGTATATCATGTGTGATATACTGTATTTGCATTATTGTACATTATGTAACATGTGGCGCATGATGTGTATGTTCTATATCACAGCTTTCCATGCATCCTTCTCAGTAGTTTGGCTACGATCGGTACTCCTGTGTCCTTGAGTCTTGCGAGTCGCTGCGGTGCTTACAACCAAGGGTTTAGGGTGTGGGCCTAGGGTTTGGGGTTCAACGACACAGCCATTTCTTGTCACCCCTCACTCTGCTGGTAAGGGAATTGAAACGGAGTAAAGCGAGCTATAGCACAATCCAAGACATCCCAAGAAGTCCAGAAGAACCAGACGGCTCTTGCAAGGGACCACCGACATCGAACCACAAGAGCAATGGAGCCTGAATCCCCATGCTCTGGCACAAGTCGGACATCTCTTCGTTGGTGTTCAACGGATGGACCTGCCAGTTTTCGGCTCCAAAAGCTCTGCCCTCAGGTGGGGGAGCGTGATCGGAGTGACCGGCTAAGTACACTAACTACAGTCCCTTTCGTCTCGCCCTTCTTGATCTCCGGAGATCCCTCAACTCCTTACCCACCAGCCCCAAAACTAGTAGGGGCTTTCATCCGGCGGAGCGGAAAGTACCAAGCCTCCATGGCCAGTACTGCAGGCGGCATCTTCACGCCCGCGAGGAACTTCCGGAAAACCTCGACACAGACCTCGACCGGAAAGGAGCTCGGGGCGAGGGTCTTCAAGTCTGGACTTCCCCAAGGACGAAGGGGCACCTTATTTTGGGGATCCTTATAATCAGGACCCTATATACTATTTAGGGTACTATATTGGGGTCCCCTGTTCTCGGAAACTCCCATGTAAGCAGCTAAGAAGATGGGCGCTTCGGCATGGATCGGTTGATTCGATGCCTCGCTCCTAGCTGAACGAATGGACTGCACGTGAAGTCAGGGCCCCAATGCCGCTGAAAGCGAAACCCTTCATACATCTCAGGCAACATAACCAGGACTAAACAACTAACCACAAAGGAATGAAGGCCCTGTGAGCCTTGGGGCCCAGGAGATCGAAATTGGAGACGCCCAGGAAGCGGGTGCGACCTTCTCGCGCAACCTCCACAATCTCTCGGGTCGTGAAGAAAGTGCGGACAGTCTCAGAAGAGGCTACAGCTCGCTTCAGAAGATTATCTGGCTCCGCATTCCTGACTCTGACAAGGCAATGGTCAATGCAACGCCTCCTCTATCCAGGGCCAGGCAGCCGGCACTTGCCTCGTGATGGTTCGGTATTGTTTTGATCCGATTCCCGAATTATTCAATAATACTAAAAACAACAAGACTAAGAAGAAGAAGAAGAACAATATAGTACTCATAATAATGGTAATGCCAACAATTGAATAATAACAGCAATACTAATAATCATCATCATCATCATAAGAGTAACAGTAGCAATAACACCCCTCCCCTGTCGCGACAAGACAAACCACGAGGGGCAAGCTCTGGTGGACAGTCGGCCACGAGCAGGTCGACATAATCCACCTGCAACTCTCCTGACAGCACAGTGGCATGGGCTCCCATCCGAAGCCTTCAGCTAGGTAGTTCTCTACATCAGGGTCCCCTTTAGGGTCCCCTTTTTTGTAGCCTTTTTTGTATGGGTGCCGTACTATTTCGGGGACCTGAAGACGGACCCTACGTAGTCTAGAGAGCTCTTCATCTTCTGAAGGCGAGGGGCTCAGGAGCATGTCGACCTCGCACCGGACCTGCTCTCGGTCCTGGAAGACCGCAGAGAGACTCTGCTCCAAGCAAAGGCTGCAGAAGCCACGGGGGCTACACCCCAAAGCTTAGGGTTTAGGGTTCAGGGTGTAGGGTTTAGGGTTCAGGGTTTATTGCTTAGGGTTCAGGGCTTATATAGGGTTCCTAAACCCCTAAACTCTAGACTCTAAACTAAACCAAGCTCCTTGCACTTTGAGATCCGACCACATAGGAAGACTTCCCCACGGGTGAGGGCCTCCTGCTTCAGGGCCTTGGCACGGCGAAAACTGATACGAAGCCGTCACAATCATGACAAATCATAATAGTGCCAATAGCAATACTAAGAGAAAAATTCGAATGATGATTATCTTACTCACGATAAAAACAAAGATTATAGCAATGATAATAGTAACAATCGCAGGTGTGGATGCAACCCGATGACTCGGAGCAGCTGCGAAGTAGCAAGCCCATAAACAGCTCAAGAGTTAAAGTAATGTAACAAAGAGCAACCCTACTTGGAGGATCATGGGACTTAGTAACTAGGCCTATAATTCAGGTACCTATACTGATATTTATTTATAACACCAATGAGAGTACCTATGCTTCCTTTCCCGCAAGCTTTCCCGAGACAGTCTGCGCCCCTCATCGGATGTATCCCCAAAACGGCTCATCTCCATGAGGCGACTGGCCTGAGCCGATGCATTGCTTGTAAGGTTCGGGCGCAGGCAGAAACATCTAGCTTTGTACAGAGTGTCCACTAAGAGCGCAAAAGGATGCGAGCGAGAGAAACAGATAGAAAGAAAAAACAGATAAAGAGAGAGAGAAGCCACAAAACACGTCGACAAATGCAAACAGCTGCCAAAATCCAGCGAGAAGCGGTCCGATCCCAAGCGACAGTCTCATCTGCAGTTGAGGTCTTTCGCTCCTCGTCAGAGACGTAGAACAAGTGGATCGGATCGAGCTCTGCAGACCACTTTGGTACCACACTCGTGAAGAGAGTCGATAAGGGTGATGAAGCGTCGAACTTGATCGCGCTCATGCATCGTTAGCTTTGGGATGTTTGCCAAGAAGACCGTGTGGGATTGTCGCCCGATGGCGAGACTGACGTCTCTGCACAGCGGGGCACAATTCCCTTGTGCCCCTGGGCCTCCACCTACGAGCCAGTACGGAACTTCCCCTGGCATATCCTGGATCACTGCCAAGGCTGAACTCAAAACATCAACCACGAAGCCGGGCCAGCCTTTACAAGCATGTGCGTGTACGGTTTCGGGGATATATTGAATTCAATTCAAGACGCTTGTTTTCCGAAACGGGGCCGAGGAGCTTGGCAAACTTATACTCAAGGATTTTCTTCTCGGCAGGTCCATTCGGTGTAGCGTAAGCTCTGTCATCCTCCCCATCGCGCGTGGAGGTCATTCGGTAGTCCACCTCTGCGCCGATGTCATGCACTTGGCAAAAGTCTTCAAGCATGGGAATAAAAGGTATGAAAAGAGGGCGATTGAGACCGTTCAGGTACAAGTCCTGTGGAGGACGGTTGGAAGTTGCCACGACGACGGCCCCCAACTCGAAGAGCACCGAGAAGATGCGCTTCATGATGATAGCATCGCTAATGTGTGTCACCTGAAACTCGTCGAAGCAAAGGAGCCAGCCCCCCACCATCATGTCCATTGCCACCTGTTCCACCAAATCGTCGGCAGTGGCCCGGCTTGTCTTGCACATCTTCTTCTGGTGCACGCGATCATCACCTCAATCATCCACTCGTGGAAGTGGATTCGCTTCTTCTCCTTAATGTTGATCTTTTCGTAGAACATGTCCATCATGAAGGTCTTGCCGGTGCCGGTGCCTCCCCACAGGTACAGCCCTCTCTGGCCGGATGCGGGCTTTGGCTCCAAAAATGCTTCCCAAGAAGCTTGTGGATGTGCTCGGCTGCGGCGTGGGCTTGGGAGCTCTTGCCATTTTAGGCGAGTAACTCTCCAAGTTTTCTGCCAAACCATCCAACATGAAGCTGAAAGCTTCAGGCGACATCCAGGAAGACCATCGGCAGCAAGAATGTATGACAATGTCATTGTCATGCATTCTTGCTGCCGGTGGTTGCTTGGAGAGTTGCCTGAAGCTCATCCAGGAAGACTACCGGCAGGAAGAATGCATGCAAATGCTGGATGGCTTGGCAGGTTTCTGCCAAGCCATCCAACATTTCCATGCATTCTTCCTGCCGGTAGTCTTCCAGGATGTCGCCTGAAGAACCAATAGTATGCCCGCCTGCTTGCCTGCCTGCCTGTATGTATGCACATACGTATGCATGTATGCATAAGTATGCATGTACGTAGGTATGTACGTATGTTTGTATGTTTTATGTTTGATATCTGTATGTATGAATGATTGTAAGATTGCATGTATGCACGCAGATGAGTATGTGTAGGTATATGTATATGCATATGTATATGTACATATGTATATATATATATATGCATATGTGCATGTATAACGTATACGTATATGCATATGCATATGTATATGTATATGCACAAATATACATACATACATACATACATACATACATACATACATATATATATATATATATATATATATATATGTATATGTGCATGTGTGTGTATGTATATGTATATGTATACGTATATGTGTATATGTAAATGTATGTACATATATATATATATATATATATGCATGTGTATATATATATATACGTAAGTATATGTATATGCTTGTGTTTATGTATATGTATGTGTATGTGTATATATATATAGAGAGAGAGAGAGAGGTACGTATGTACATGTATATGTATATGTATATGTATATGTACATGTATATGTATATGTGTGCATGCATGTATGTATGCATGTATGAAAGTACGTGTATATATACACTCACATTATAAATATGTATAAATAAATAAATACATATATATATATGCATATATATATGTGTATATGTGTATATGTAAATATGTATATACGTATATATGTGTATATGTATGTATATGTATGTATGCATGTATATGTATATGTATATGTATATGTATATGTATATGTAGAGGTATATGTGTATATATATATATATGCATTACATGCCTCCTGCTTGTTTCTATATGCATGTATGTATAGACCTACCTATACATTTACTTATGTGGCCATCTGTCTACTTTTTCTGCTCTTTGTTTTTTGTTATACTTACTTTATTTATTTCATTGGTCATATTAATATATCTACTTATCAACCTACTCATGTTTAAATACTTGTGCTCTTATGTGTGCATATGAGCATATAGACTTATTTGTTCTATCATGTATTTATCCACGGGATTATCTACGTACGCATTTTTTTGTTAGTTAGTCGGTTAGCTGTGCTTGCATGTATAACTGTCCGTATATCTAGCATCTGTACCAGTGCACAGGAGGCAGTTGGAATACTTGTCGCAGGTTCGTGCTGAGCTGCATCGGCTAATCAGACAGCTCCATGAGCCACACCTTCTGGAAAAGACGCCAGCAACTACCGTCGTTCTATGCCCCTAGAGGAGTCACTTGGGATTTAGGAGCTGATCAGAGGGGAGCTCGAGAGTTAAGTGCTTCGAAGCTTGCAAGCCCCCAGGTTTACGAATTGCAGGTGAGCTAAGCCCGACGCTGTTTCCAAAGCCCTGCCGATGCTTTGCTGGTTCATGTGACCTGGCGAGGCCCCGAGACGTGAGCTCTGACGGGCTCTGGTTCAGGGTCATCGGTCGTTTGAATAGGAAGGGCAGGGGAGGCTTGGAAGCAAGAAAACATGCCCCGGCCACGGTTGCTGCTGTCGACAAGTCTCACACCAGCCGCCAGCGCTTCCTGCATGCATGAGGTCCACCGTTTTGCCGAGCAAGCAGCTTGATTCATCCGTCTTTCATGTGCACACTAGCGGACTAGCGGGGCCTGCGTGACACTCACGGCATCTTCACAAGCAAGGTGACCAGCAAACCTCCCGTCTGGCCTGCAAAGCGGCTTGCGTCAGCTCGTCCACCCGCCGGTAGAAATCCTTCACAGGCGCGTCGGGGGCTGTTGGAGAAAATTTACTTTACATGCACAACCCGAATCAGAAGCTGTCTCGACAATATACAGAAACGTGACGGCAAATCCAGGAGCACGAGGACAAAGCTTGGCCCCTCCCGCATTCGGTCTCGGAGTTGCCGGCCTGATCGGAGACACGCTCCGTTAGATCCTCCGGCATGAAGTGGCCTCACACGGGCTTAGGGCCCTCGACGGCCTCGAACGGAATCGGTGTTTGTCAATCTATCCTAACTACCTCTCACTCTCTTTCTTCTGTCTGTCCGTGTGTCTGTCTGTCCTTCTGTCTGTGTGTCTCTGTCTATCTGGAGTGACTTCCCGTGTGACCTGGGACGTGGGGGAAAAGCAATTCTCGGCGAGATGCGGCTCGACATGAACACGCCATCTCTTCTTTCCTTGTCCGCAGGCCCCACGCAAAAAAAGGCACTGCCATCACACCATCCCGCCCTCCTCCTGCTGCGGCCTTGCTGACGACCACTGCATGGTATACATGCTACCACTGATATGAGAATGGCACTGGGGATGAAATCCCTGGCATGAAACCATGCCCCGCATCTGCCCGCGCAAGGAATCCTGAATCTATAGTACAGTATACTACAGTATACTACAGTATTAGGTACTTAGTATACACAGTATACTACAGTATACTATAGCATACTATAGTACAATGTATATGTATGTCTCTAAACCTCTATATATATATATATATATATACATATGTAGGTATGTGATCCCAGGCCGGGAGTCTGAGGCAGGAGCTGCCAAAGCCGATGACGGGCAGCTCCTGTCTGAGGACAAGCTCCACCCTTGCTAAGGGATTTTGATCTAAGTTACCATAACAGGGATCTATAGTATCTATAGTAATTACTGTGGTTTCCTGATTATGGTAACTTAAATTAAAACCTATAACAAGAACCCGAGAAAGGACAGCGACTCCCAACCGACCACAACCCTTGCATCACCCCCGAACTGGAAGACCTCAAGCCCCTGTGATCCACACCGATCGCTGCAGATTCCTGCAGTCCGGAGGCCGCGATTGGCTTGGTCCTTGCCGGTTCTAGCACTCGTGTGGCACCAGGGTTCGCAAGAGCAATTGTCACTGTAGCAGTAGCAGTAGCAGCTGTAACTTTTGCTACCTTGCACGAATCGGCAGCTCCCCGACGCAGACAGAAACATCTTTCCTGCCTTCCCCCTACAACAGAATTCGACAGGGTAAATTCTCAACTTCATCAATACCTGGGCAAATAGGCGAAAGTACCAGAGAAGACTCATGCACAGACCGCAATCAGACCGCAAGCAGACCGCAAGAACCCACAGCTCCGTAACGGTCGAAGGCATGACGACGTGCATGGTGTCGCTATGGAATCTGTCAACTTCACCGACCCTGGATCCCCTGTACCCTAAACCAAAGACCCTAAACCCGTAACCCTCCACCCTAAACCCTAAACCCTTAATCCTAAACCCTGAACCCAAACCAAAGACCCCAAACCCTAAGCTCTAAACCCAAACCAAAGACCACCCTAATTTCGACAGCTCCCCACGGACCTTGATGCCACCAGGGCTGGGAGCGGACATGCAACCTGTCGTGGCACCATTGCACTCCATGATACGTGAGGCATGGTTTAATATGCAAAAACTGTAGAAAAGACATATGTATGTGTTTGTGTGTCTATATATACACACACATACACATAAACCTATATACTACACGGACTATACACATATGCCTATATATAGATATATGTACATATACCTATACGATCCTCGGATGCAGGACGAGATCGCGCTGAGCGCCGCAGTCGCGCCTTGATGGCCTTGTGGTCCGAGATCGGAACCTCCAGCTGCGCCTTGCCGCAATGCGAGAGTCTGTTAAATTATGGGATAAACGGAGTGAATCGTGTTTTTTGGGGGGGGTGCGTGCATGGTTCAGGGTTTAGGATGTCGTTTTCTTGTTTTTTGGGGACCTCTTTTCAGTCTGCCAGTATCTCTTCAGTCGAATGCCTATCAGGCAGAGATGCATTTTCAGGGTTTCGGGTTTAGCATTTAGGGTTTCGTGTTTAGGAAAATCCGGAGGGTAGAGTATGGAGGCACATCCACAGAGTACAGAGCAGGTCTAAACCAAGGCTTTGCCAAAGTCTTCTTTGATGATATGGGTGGTTGTCAAAACCATGGTCCCTTTTTGGGTAATCTAAATAATAGGTGCCGTATTATATTAGGGATCCAAAAAGTGACAATAATTTTGACAACCACCCATACAGCAACACGAGAAGCCTGAGCTCTGGGCGACTTCCCATGCAGCCACCAGACAGGGTTCGAACAAAAAGAGAAAGACTCACGATCTTCGAAGAAAGCAGAACACCGAAGAAAGACACTAAAGCGACGAACACCGGAGACCCAACATACCCGCCGGATCACCCAGAGATTTCTTTGTGGAAAGGTTTGTACCGCCATTCACTTTCGGCTTGTAGTACCACACCCCCGGCCTCGCCAATGACGTCGGCCGTGGCGAGGGCCTCCACCGATCGCGGCGTAACCTGTATGAAAGAAACGCCCTTGCACACACGTGGGAGTTTCCGAAAATGGGGAACCCTAATATAGTACCCTAAATAGTAGGATCCTTATTATAAGGGCCCCTTAAATAGGGTACCCCTTAATTTTCGGAAACTCCCACGTCTTGGGCCTCCAGAACTCCGGGACTCAAGCTTACGGATTTCAGTACAGCTTCGGCTTGGATCGGCTTCAGGGCTCTTTGTACGGGTACCTCTATAAAGGGAACTCCAGAAAGTTGGAATATGGTTTCATGGTAGGATCCCCTATAATTTACCTTAAAGGGGTTACGATAATGATATTCCAACTTTCTGGCTTCTACTGTAGGACACAACGGGAAACTTGAAAGTTTCCCCGAGCTCCCTCACGGCCGCATCGGGGCCTTCTGACTCGTCGCCATGAAGTCGGCGAGGAAGCCGAAGAGGCCTCAGTCGGACAAGGGCTGGACACCTCAACAATCCGCGCAGGGTGCAGGGGTTTAGGGGTTCAAAAGGGATTTGACAGGGGTTTGAAAGTTTAGTCAAGCCTAAAGAAGACTAAACCCCCTTCAGAAGGCTTTGCTTCACAACGCGCAATCTCTGCCCAGCTGCAGCTGGCGGGGACTGCGTCCTTGTCGTAGACCAGGGACCATCCGACATCCTCCAACGTTTGCAGAGGCGCCTGCAACGAGAAGAGACATACATAATGTAGAACATGTGACGTGTAATGTACAAGTCTCGGGCATCGTGCACACTTTTACAAGTGTGTTCGAACTGGCGCGTGTCGCACGTACTTGCCTGCAGCCATACATGCATAACCAATAGGGTGGAGATCTGCATGCATGTGTACATACATGCAAACTTGCACCATCACATATCCTTACATCCATGTACTCATATACAGAAGTGCAGAGGCAACGTGCTCGTCAAGATCAAGCGACGGATTGCGGGCCTCTGCTTCTTCGGGATAGTCACTGCCGAAAGGACCTGACCTGGCTTTGCCGGGGACAAAAGTGACAAAGGCACATAGCACTACCAATAGGAAGAAGAATAATAATTACATATCGACATGCATATCTACATACATATAGACACACATACAGACATGCATTCATACATCCGTACATTCATACTTTCATACATTCATACAAACATTCAAACATACATGCATACATACATACATTTTACATACACGCATACATACGCACATACATACATACATACATACATAGAGTCCTGCCATCATACGACCATACAACCATACATATACTGTGCAATCAAGCATATACAACCCGTATGCTACCACTGCTACCTATTATTCAGCAACTGATATCTGGCATCTGCTATCTAATACGCGATACTTATCTCATACCCAAGCCCGTAAACAGCTCTAGAGTTCTGGAGGTAATGTAAGAGAAAGCAACCCTAAGTGCTTCCTTTCCCGCATTTTTGCCCGAGGCAGTCTGCGTCCCTCATCGGATGTATCCCGAAGAGCGCATCTCCATAAGGCGACTGGCCTGAGCTTCGGGTGCAGACAGAACCGGTTTATCTCGCTTTTACACAGAGTGTCCACAAAACACCACACAGAGCGAGCGAGAAAAACAGAGAGTGAGAGAGAGAGAGAGAGCCTAAAACACGTCGACAAGTACAATCAGCTGCCAAAATCCAGCGAGAAGCGGTCCGATCCCAAGCGAAAATCTCATCTGCAGTTGAGGCCTTTCGCTCCTCGTCAGAGACGTAGAACAACGGGATAGGATCGAGCTCTGCTGTGCAGACCACTTTGGTACGACACTCATAAAAAGAGTCGATCAGGGTGATGAAACGTCGAACCTGATCGCGCTCTTGCATGGTGAGCTTTGGGATGTTGGCCAAGAAGACCGTGCTGAATTTTCGCCCGATGGCGAGATAGTCTGCCGCTCCAAGAGCCTCAGGGCTCTTCTTGTAACTTATGTTACCATAATAGGGATCTATAAGGGTTCCTTCAAGGGACCTATAAGGGTTCCTTTAAGGGTAAAGAGCCTTGTTGCACAGGTCTTCAAAGTCGAAGAAGGCTGCATCGGAAGTCTCCGCACAGCGGGGGACCATGACCTTGCGCCCCTGGGCCTCTACCTGCGTGCCAGTAAGGAACTTCCCCTGGCATATCCTGGGTCACCGCCAAGACTGAACTCAAAACATCAACCACGAAGCCGGGCTGGCCTTCATAAGCATATGGGTGTACGGATTCGGGGACATGTTGCTTTCAATTCAAGACATGTGTTTTCCAAAACGGGGCCGAGGATCTTGGCAAACTTTTTCTCCAGGATTTTCTGCTCGGCAGGTCCATTCGGTGTGATGTAAACTCTGTCATCCTCCCCTTCGCGCGTGGAGGTCATTCGGTAGTCCACCTCTGCGCCGATGTCATGCACTTGGCAAAAGTCTTCAAGCATGGGAATAAAAGGTATGAAAAGAGGGCGATTGAGACCGTTCAGGTACAAGTCCTGTGGAGGACGGTTGGAAGTTGCCACGACGACGGCCCCCAACTCGAAGAGCACCGAGAAGATGCGCTTCATGATGATAGCATCGCTAATGTGTGTCACCTGAAACTCGTCGAAGCAAAGGAGCCAGCCCTCCCTCATCATGTCCACTGCCACCTGTTCCACCAAATCGTCGGCAGTGTCCCTGCTTGTCGTGCGCAACTTCTTCTGGTGCAAGCGATCATGCACCTCAATCATCCACTCGTGGAAGTGGATTCGCTTCTTCTCCTTGATATTGATCTTGTCGTAGAACATGTGCATCATGAAGGTCTTGCCTGTGCCGGTGCCTCCCCACAGGTACAGCCCTCTCTGGCCGGGTGCGGGCTTTGACATGGCTGCCTTGGGTGGAGGAGCCTTGGCTGCTTTGGCCTTGGCTCCAAAAATGCTTCCCAAGAAGCTTGTGGATGTGCTCGGCAGCGGCGTGGGCTTGGGAGCTCTTGCCATTTTAGGCGAGTAGCTCTGCAAGTTCTCCGCCAAGCCATCCAGCATTTGCATGCACTCTTGCTGCCGGTGGTCTGTCTGGATGTCGCCTGAAGCTTTCAGCTTCAGATAACTATCCAAACAACCACCAGGCAGGGCGGAAAGAAACCGTTGCTGGCCGACAGTGGTGGCAGCAAAGCCTGCTGCTGGCCAGCTGAGACGCTGACCGCCATGGCGTGCCAGACGGCAGGACAGAGCTCGAGTCAACGAATTTATCATTGCGGCTCTATCCTGGGGTGCTCGAACCGAAATTGCATCATTCACAGGAAAGTTGAGGCTGTCTCTTATTGATTGCTTCATGAAAGCGCTGCCAAAACGCAAGAAGCAGTTCCAAAGCGACCTGCACAGGAAGCCGACTGTTGACCTGCTAGATATGGCAAGGCCACGGAGTCGTCTTGGCTCCAATGACCCCCCAGAATACTAGACTGGCTGGGAGGCAGGCACTGCGCCGAAGTCTCCCACGATGATCCCCAGGTCATCCTGGAATCGAGGTTTAGAGTTTAGAGGTTCAGAGTTTAGGGGTCTGGGACTAAAGGTTTGGGGTTTACGGCTGAGGGGTCGCAAGTCTCCGCAGTCAGTCAGAACCGAGCGACTGCTCAAGAGCTGCTACCAGAAAGCAGTAGAGGACAAAAATGTAGTGCACAGTACGTAATAAATATATAACACGAGTTCTCATATCCATGTAAGGGATCCAATATCTGACATCTAGTAACGTATATTCAGTTTACAATATCATTTTCGAGTATCTAATAGACAATATACAGCACGTGATAAAAAGCGTATAGTAGGTAACAGGGCGGGTGTTCACCTTGGCTCCACGCCTCCGCGGAGCGTGAGGAGAAAAGGTCCACTAGGCGCGCAGCCTGCCTTCTCCTGCGAGCGAGATGGTCAGAAAAGACGGCTTCGGTTCAGTTTTCGGGGGTTTAGCTTAGGGGTCTAGGGGTGCAAGGTGAGGGTGGCAGCTTCCCTTCGAAGAGCGTCAGGCCAGGAAAGCCATCGACTTTTGGCTTCAAAGCCTCCAAAAGCTGCCAAACCGTGGGAGGCTGAATCTCAGCAAGCAGACGTCGAAGCGGAGAAAGGGCGGCGATGGCTCACCGCCCCTCAACCGGCCAGCCTACGGCTTGCCTCATACCAGCAGCATCACACGGCCGGCGGTCTGAGCTCGGTTTTTTCCCGGAGTGAAAGCTTCGTAGATCACTACACCAATCCCCCAAATCAGAGACCCAAGGCTCTTCGAGCTCAAGCCGAACCAAAAGGCCAAGAGGGCCCAGAGACTCCCCGTGAGAAGGCAGAAGCCAGAAAAGCGGAGCGCGTGGCACTCGGCCAGGCAGGTAGGCAAACCCTCGCTGAGATGTCTAGAAGCGTGCATGAATCTAGACGAGCAGAGAAGGAGTGAAAGACAGCGATAGCCAAATTGGTCTAGGTATGCATGCATGTATGGTCCCCATTTGCGCAGGCACGAACCTCACGCACACACAAACTCAGAGACGGAAAGAAAAACATCAAGAGACAGACAGAGGGAGAGCGAGAGAGAACACAACTAGACATCCCTATAAGTGCGCACCTACGTTCATATGCTGTGGCCAGGTTAGCCTACCATGTGGCGAAAAGTGGTGGTCAGCCTGAGTTTCGCAGGCGCACACCCTGTACACAACTGGCCCAGCTGACTTATTGACTTGAGCAATTCCCGCACAAGGCAGAGGTCCAATAGGCTTGCAAGAAACGGAGGCGAACAGGAAATAAGCAAGCTGGATTCATCACTTTGATTGAAACAAAATCCGTTCTGACAGAAACGACCGCGCAGTGGCTCTATGCAATCTGAATGTAGCCAGAGCTGTCGTCCACCGACGTTTCCTGTCGAGGTCTGGCGGCATAGAGCGCAGCCAGGAGCATGCCTGCGATCACGCGGGCCATACAGGAGTGTCATAATAAACACTGACAAGTATCTTGTTATTACTGGTATTACTGCGTTATTATGCGTTATTAAAATGTTACTACTATTGCTAATTTTGACTACAAAATAGATTCTAATACCAAGATTATCAAATACGGGACCTGAGTGCCGATCCCACTTAATGGGATGAGGGGATCTCAGATGCCGAGAAGCCCGGGTAAAACTACCCAACCGAGCACACATGACGGGAATCCCTCGCTAACCCAGTGCGCATTTACTTGTTCATCCACACCCTGAACCCTAAACCCCACTGCTGCCATCCAAGCTGCCTAGCAGAGTTGAATACGGAGAACTCAGGTCTAAGCTGCACAAACTAGGTGTAGAAGTAAGCTAGACTTATGGCGCTGTATGATCGTCGCTCAACTCTCCTGGGTCAACAACTCTTTGCCACTGGATTGTACGATGACATGTGCAGATGAGTTGGATGCATGTAGGAGAACCACCCAAAAAATCAGTCGAGCTGAACCAAAAAGATTATCCTGCAGCATATCCAGCTGTTGAATCTTGCGGTATGGTAATCAGTCAATCAATCAATCAATCAATCAATCAACCAATCAACCAACCAACCAACCAACCAACCAATCAATCAATCAATCAATCAATCAATCAGGCAATCAATCGACATGCAAGCACACATAAACATGCTCAGTCTTGCCACTGAGGTTCCAAATGCAGCACAAGCTCCGGCCTGCTGCAGCCAAGGCCGGCCAATGCCATGAGGGTGCCGGGAAGCCAATGTTGGTCTCAGCATCGGGAAGCGCCAAAAAGTTGGGCGCATCACCCTGCACTTGCAGAAGGCGTGATCTTTCAAGGAAAGTATGGCGAGGATGCAGGAGGTCTTGCCTCCAGCAAGCTGTCCACAACATTGCTTACCGCTGCATCAACATCTCCACCGTGCCTGCCGCATGCTTATGGCGCTTATGGCATTCTGGACAGCCAAAGAGAAAGTTGAGTAAGGAATTGCAAACCGTCGAGGCACATAATCACTTCGCCGGCATAGGGCTTGCCAGACGAGTCCGTGATGATCCTGTCAAGCACCAAAAAGCGGTAAGTCGACATGTCGAAAGATCCCACCTCTCGCCTTCAATAAAATCGCCCCAGCAGTTCAAGCATCTTACATGCAAACCGAACATAGAAAACCAAGAAGTCGAAACGTGTTCTTTGCCCACGCATGAAAATGTCACATCACAGCGAGAGAGACGATCATGGAAGCAGATGACCCCAAGTGATGTTGTGGCTTGGGAATTCCCTTTGCTGATTCCTTCCTTAGAGTTCCCTCTGTGCGTGCTCTTGTTTTCAGATTGCTACCCATTAGGCAACAGCAGCCAAACTCCAGTGCAGATGCCACCATGCAGTCAAGCATCTTGTCGAAGTTCCAGGCGATGGTTCCCGGTGGCGTGTTCGCGAGCAAGTACGTGTATACCGCATCATTCTCGGCGCAGCATTCCTTCGACCCTGGCATGCACGCATCTTCGCCAGAGTACGTGCAGGCCACGCCGTTGAGGTTCGACTTTGCAAACATGATCACCTTGAAGGCAAATGCATTCTAAGATCGTGCGTTTTAGCTATGGACCATGCTTCGAACCTGCCAGCACGAGATCCAGACATTATCTTTCTTACGGCATCATGTACTTTTGCACCCTCCCGGAGCACCAAAGAGCGAAGTCCAAGATGCATTGCTATCCCCACCATCCTTGGCCAGGGCAACATACTGCTCTGCAAACTTCTTGATCTCGGCATTCGTGCCAGGCTCTTGTTCTCCGAACTGGTTGCACGGGAACAGAAGAAAGCGAACCTGAGTGAATGAGGGCCTCTTAAGCGTCACTTCCAGTCGTGATTATGGATTATCCTGATGACATCTGATGACTATGATTTATGGACATTGCTATTCTTGTTGCTACTGGACTTCAAATACGATCATGACTACTAATTAATTAACGTGGGCTTGCTGGCTTTCTGTACAAACGAGACGCAGGTTTGTCAGAATACTTCTTCTGAAGTCGTGTCAGCATTTCATAGTTGGACTTCGTGAAGCCTCAGTTGGTCGCCACATTGATGACGACGCTGATGTTGCCTGGCCATCTGCAGCGTTGCGCTTTCCAAGCATGTCCGACACGAGATGACAGAGAGGCCTACACTCGCACCTGCCGAGCCGAGGGGAATCTTCTTGCCGTCGATATCTACTGCGGATAGGTCATAAAGGGAGGACGCCACGGCCGAAGCCAGTGTCGAGAAAGCCAATACCTCGGACCAACCGCCAGCCCCTGACTTCAGAGCCACTCGGATCTACACTGCCAGTCACTACCAAGGTCGGGGCACGAGAAAGCGCCATCCACACCGAGCTCTCTTAACCCTAGGCCTTCAGCTCTTGACAACTTGAGCCCTACTGCAACAGTGGGGGGTGTCCTCGAGTGTACGAGCTCAAGCTGCCAGAGATGCGAACGACACAGGTTTTTCTGGGCAATGCCTCCTTCTTGGATCACCCAGATCCACGGGTGAAACGGGTGAGACATCTCTTTGGCGCTGCTACAGGAAGGCCTCTACCACGATCGTGTTGGCCTCGCCTGCCTGAACCATCGTGTGCAACCGCTCGTAGGAGATGCCACGCTGGTTTAGCGCTCGCTTAAGGCTCAGGGCACGAGCATGGGCATATGGTTGCAACCAGTCCATGCGCTCCTGCGGGAACGAACTGTGAAAGTCCTCGTAAAACGCTGATTCTGTGCGCTGGCTGATCTCACCATTTCCGTAGGAGATGCCCTTCAGGCGAAATCGAAAGGCCGGATGGCGCTTCATGATCTTCGAAAGCTGCTCCAGAATCTGGACGTTCTCTCTGGAGGAAGAGACATCCCATGATCTCTGCATCCTCTGCTTGGCATCGTGATCTGGCTCACGGGAGTTCATGTGATGAGTGGAGAAAGATAAGTGACCAATCAACCTCAACTCTTCGTTGACCTGCGCATGCTCCCCAGCCACGGGTCCCAGCTTTGAGACGTTCATCATCATGAAACAGAAGCACAAGAAAGCGCAGATTAGCAAGCAGACGAAGCTGCTGGCAAAGGAGGTGCTGCAGGCAGTGGGAACAGACCCTGAAAAGCACTGCCAAAGCAAGGAAGCCGGACCGACATCCATCTGAGCCGGAGTTGACTTCTGAGACTCGTGGTGTCCCTCCTCATATTCTGCGAGAAGGTCTGGTCTAAAGCGGCTCGTCTGCTTGGAAGATGGACCTGAAAGGAAGAGACCTGCAATGGCCAGGGCCAGAATGCAGAGGGTCGCAACTTTGAGACCCTGGACGGCGCTGCAGGGAGGTTGCGACTTTGGCACACCACGGCTTTCCCCCAATCCGCTCCACTCTGCCTCCTCTACGTCTTCTTCCGGTTCGAAAAGCGAGCCCATGGCTCTACGGCCTTGCACGGCTTCCAATCTGAGGATCGCGGCGGGGCTCTGGCGACATCATGGGTGCTTGAGCCGACAGGCATTGTTATTGGGGATTATATACATGTATACATATATATATATATATATGTATATATATATATATATATATATATAGGAGGGTTTAGGATTGAGGCTGCCGTATTCAGCTTCCCAGTCCCGAAGAGCTCGAGCTCAACACAACCTGTCACGATCTCTCAGAGTGCCGAGTGTCGTCAGTCCTTTCATCACCAAGCTGCGACAGGAACAACTCGTCCTCCACGGATAGAATCTACACTGTGTCAACGACACAGGTAACAATCCCAAGATCCCCCAAAAACGCGTGCGGCCAGTCCTCGATCCGGGAGCCACCTCAGCTGCCCAGCTTGAACTTTGAGCCACTTGGCACTGCCCAGATGCAATCGGCGCAACAGCCTCCCTAAGAGCACAGAGCCAGACATCCGCCAGACTCGTCAGGCCCCGTCAAAACCCTTGATGCCATGGGGTTCCTTTATCCTAGGCTCGAAACTTCGGATTGAAAATCCGCACCGGATCTCTCACCCAATGCCTTTGTTTCCTCACTGACGGGCTTGAACACAACCTCACTTAGGCACTCACTTGCTATGAAGTCTACTTAGTTGTGCTCATGCTGCCTGCTTGCTATCTCACTCTGACTGATTGCTTGCTTGGTTTTCATTGACTGACGGACTGAGTGAACGATCAATTGGGCAGGTCTGGTGCCTGAGCGCTTGCCTGCATGAATGCGTATACGCGCATGTGCATGTTTGCTTTCCTGAAGGCTTTCTTGATTAGTGCATAATCACTTGCTTGCATGAGGGCTGCTTGGTTTGGAGGCTCATGCTCACAGAAGCTTTTGGATGCTCTGGTTGGCATCTCTATACCTGTGTCCACTACTTCCCTGCCCCATCATGAACACCATCTCTGACTGCCCAGATCATTTTTTCATGGGTCTAGGTCTAAGGTTTACTGCTTCATTCATTAGGTGCGTTCGGACTGAAATGTCTCCTTACACTTTCAAGTTTTGCAAGGAACGAACAACTGGGCATAATGCCCCTTTGCATCAAAGAAGCTCAGCTGCGTGTTCAGCACGTAAACAAACGGCCCCTGCAGGCTGCAATATTGCACTCCCTCTACAAGTATGACTTCAGGTCTAAAGCAATAGACAGGAACTGCAAGCCAGGCTGCGATCTCAACTGCAATCCGTCCTCAAAACTCTTTATTTGGGTGGTTGTCAGAATTAGGGTCCGTTTTGGGGTACCCTAAATAATAGGTGCTGTATTATAACAGAGACCCAAAAAGTGATCCATAGTTTTGACAACCACCCTTATGTAGGCGGCTCAACCCTGGCCCCTTTCTCGCGCGGCTAAGCTGGGCCTCGGTGGAGCCCTTCAATCCGAGCCTTTGCTGGGGCAAGCGGTGTACATAATGTATGTACATGAATGTGTATATATATATATATATATAATTATATGTAGTTGTATACATATACTACAGTATATTCTATTATAGTATAGTATAGTATAGTACTGATAGCTGGTCAATGTATTCCTGTCACATTCCTGCCAGTGCCTTGCATCAGAGCTCCACAGAAGGCAGATGGGAAGAACAACGCTGACTCCCGACTCGCGGGGACCAGGGGGAGACTCTAGGCTGTGGGGACTGCTGCTGCTGCGCCAGGGCTACTACGGTTGATAATATAAATCCTGCATTCCCTTAATGCCCCTAAACTATAGGAATTATGGTATATTCCTTATTATGTATGGGTAATGTAGGATTTATATCATCAGCCGTAGTGCTACCTTTCCTTCTCTTCCTCCTCCTGTTCCGACGATGAGCGCGCTTCGTCTATGAATATGGCTAGTGTCGCTTTCTTTTCTCGCTCCTCTTTCCAGCTGAGTCGGAAAGGACTGACTTCCCCTGCCACGGGTATGCAGCAGGAAGTGAGCCGTGAGTCCTGTCGCAGCTTACCTAACTTAACTCCGAATTGCAAGCCGCATGAATGAACCTGGCCGTGTGAAAGCAGAGACAGGGTCTTCTGCTACTCATGGTGGTAGCTGCATTTAAAACACAGCAATGGTTCCCTCGGGCCTGTGGTCGAAAAGAGTCAAGAAACGTCGTGGCCTCGGGACAGGCCTTCTGATCACCACGCAGCTCTGCCTGTGACACAGACCGCAAATCTTCCACACACGATCTTCGTTATCCTCTGCCATTGTCCCTCGCTGAGCTGCGGCACAAAGGCACAAAGCAGTCACCTGCCGAACTTCTGGTGGCGCCTCCCGAGTGCCACGGCACTAAACTCGTGCCCTCCTGGGCTCCGAATTCTGAATTTCTTTGGGTCGGACCCAAGATTGCAGCCTCGCAAAGTTCCATCCGGCATGTCCCTGCTGCATGCTTACGATTGCTTTCGGCTGGCCGGTGGACTTGCAGCAAGACGACTGCTTGGATGGACTCTCGTCGGCCCGAACAGGTCGACCCAAAGTTCAGGTCTTTCTGGCTCGACCTCTGTTTGGGGCTGACGTTGCTCTGCAGCTCCAGCCCCTAGCAGAAAGCTGCAGCTAAGCCCATCTTGTGGCGCGATGACTGACCTGTCAATCTCTAAGGATTGTGCCGCTTCCGTCTCGATGCGGCCGCGGGATGTGTGCAACCCAGGGAAGGTCAAAAAGCAGCTGTCCGGGATCTCGTCAGCTGCAGGTATCTGCAGATGCCCTTCGGTTAGCATAACACCTCAAGACATCCAGCCCCTGCCTTCCTTCACTCTCAGAACTTGTTCTCCACGGGCACATGAGTTCCCAGTTCCCTGGATGTCACACCAATCGCAAACGACAGCAGGATGCTCGCAGATCGATGCCCGCTGTCACCCCGTGCGACCCGCCCTTGGAGTTGGTCCGGTGCCAGTCTCAAGTGAAGCTTGCAAAGTAGGCTAATTTGCTTGTATTAGCTATCTATCATTGCTCGATCGAAATTCACATGCCTTGCAACCTAAGCTTGATTACAAGCACTATTGTACTTTGGCCAGGGCAAGCACGCCCTGCCCGAGAAAAAAACACGAATCTGATGCAGGCCTTACGGCCCAGCTCAGCCCCAGTGCTCATGGCCCTTGTCACGGATTCTCACGGGGCGTAAATGGGGGCCGAGCTTGGCGCTGAGCCTCAAGGGATCCTCCGCACGACTTCCCTGCCCTCCGCCTGCAAGTCCTTCGAATCCTTCGAGCTCGAAGCACCTGCCACGGGGGCGTGGATGAAGGCCATCATGTCGGGGAAGTCGCCGACTGCACCTGAGGCTAGCGGCTGACTCATGTCATGCACTTCTTGTACAGCTACCCACGTCTGTAAATAGATAGATGGAGCGACAGATAGACACACAGACAGAGAGACGGTTAGTCAGATACAAGGAGAGACAGACAGACGGACTGACGGACGGACGGAGGGACGGATGGATGGATGGATGGATGGATAGAGGGAGGGAGGGAGGGAGGGAGGGAGGGATGGAGAGAGAGCGAGAAATAGAGAGAGAGAGAGACAGAAAAAAAGATAGACAGATCACCTGAGAGACAGATAGAAAGATCACTGAATACATTGATAGATAGACAGATAGGTGAATTGATGGATTGATTGATAGGTAGACAAGATCAATAGAGAGATGGAGATAGACGGATAGACAGACAGACAAACAGACAGACGGACGGACGGACCGACAAATAAACACGCAATTGCCTTCCTCTGTCTATAGACTTACTAAGCTAAGGAGGGGGGGCAGCATAAGTCTCGTGGTCCCGAAACGCGCTTGGGGAAAGCTGTTGTGCTCCCGAATCCTCCTGAATCCTGCGAAGACTTTGGGGAGCGTTCCGAGGGTGGTCTTCAATGCGCCAATATTTGGCGGAAAGCGTTTTGGCAGTGTTCTCCTGATGGTCTTTCGCTGTTTGGGAATCTCCGCTCCGCTGGCAACATCATGACATGATGATTAACACTATTATGATGACTACGACTCCTCTTACCATAGCTATTACTTGCAACTACTACTATTATGGCCATGGCCATAATATGCCACAATCACGGTTATTGCTAAGGCTACTCGTATATTATATGCAGGTCGAATGATCCTTTTCAGGCCCTGATCTAAGCTCCCCGGCCAGCTCCAACTGGCCTCGCCGAAGCTCCGCTTGGCCCCTCCGAGCGGTGGAGGCTCGGCTGCGGCGAAGGCGGCACGCCATCCTTGCAGAAACCCTTGGAGCCCTAGGGGGGTTTAGGGGTTAGGGGTTTGGGGGTCATAAGGGTTTAGGGTTTAGGGATTATGAGGTGGGGCAGCATGATGATGGCCTCGTGTCATATCGTATGTACTACAGAGCACAAAATGGTGTAGTTCGCGGGGACCAAACTGGCATAGTACAGTGTAGCATCGTACTTCATGGCATGGCATGCCGTGGTATAGTACAGCATAGTACAGCGTAGTTTTGGTACAGTATAGTATAATACAGTAGCCAAGTTCAGCAGCCAAAACCTGCCAAGAAGCTGGGCCAAAGATTCGACAAAGATGAACTTCTTCAGGACGTGGATCAGGCGAAGCTTCTGGAGTGGCTGTGGCTGCGCTCTTCTCTTTCTCCCGACCTTTCAGGTGTCACAAGATTTTGCGAGTCTTTGAGAGCTATTGCCCCAGGCACCTGGGCGGAGCTCAGAGGACGCCGCACTCTCGGCCAGCGGGAGCTCGATGCTCTTACACATGGCGCAGGGCTCCAAGTACTGGCGAAAGGCCAAAGCTTGCTTTCATTGACCGAAAAGCTTCTGAAGGGCGCGTGCGCGGTGTGACATGGTGCGACAATCAACGAAACACAACTAAGAATCTACCTACGACTCCACATGCACCTCGTGACGGAAACTCGGTGACTTAAAGCGCCCCCGGTCTCCCTAGTACAGAACAGTGTAGTAGAGTATAGTCTTATCTAGTCTCTCCCCATACAACTCGGAATCGAAGAAAACTCCTCGCAAACCCTGGGGCCGGGACCGGGCCCAGACCGCCGAACGAGCGACAAGAGCTTGCTCACCGCCCCCTAAGTCGTGTAGAATAGAGTAGAACTAGGATTTAGGGTTTAGGAGATCAGTTTACATTACGTCACGCTATGCAAGATAAGATGACCGATTAGAACCGAAGAAGAATTGTAATTTAGTTGTAACAACGTCGCGTGGCACGGGGTCGATAAACTAGTTGAGGGTTGTCAGGAACTGTAGGAGCTTTGACGAGAAGGCAGCAGCGAGGAGCACTGAGATTCCGGCCGTGAGCAACCATCAAAGACGAGGACGATATCTGATCCACGCCTGTCCTCATAAGGGTAGTTGTCAAAATTATGGCCCCTTTTTGGGTACCCTAAATATTAGGTGCTGTATGATGTTAAGGACCATAAAAGGGACCATCATTCTGACAACCACCCACATGGCAAGGCCAGCAAGGAGGTCTGCTGCATGCTCTTGGGCCGGGGCACAGAATTTCAACTACGTAGTTGGCATTTAGGGTTTTAGGGTTGAGGAGTTGTTGTTGAGGGTTTAGGGTTGAGGAGTTTTTGTTGAGGGTTTAGGGTTTAGAAGTTTTTGTTGAGAGTTTAGGGTTTAGGAGTTTTTGTTGAGGGCTTAGGGTTAAGGCACAACACCTTTTTCGACAGCTTCGCAGGAGACGTGGACCGAGCCGCCCACGACTGAGCTTCCCAAAGGCAGTCGTCACTTCGCAGGTAGAGCCTGCGACTTCCGAACCGCTTGAGCAAAGATGAGTTTGTTTTAAGGGTTTAGGGGTTTAGGGTTTCGGAGCAGAGAAGCCCAACAGATCAATGCCCGTCGGAGAACGAAACCGTGAGGCTCCGGCTCATTGACCATGAGACTCTGATGTGCAACTGAAGGTACGGCCTCGCAATTCCGCCAGGAGAGAAAATGAAGGAAAGCCGCGGGAGACCTTGATCCGCATTCCCATCTGCTTCAAAGCCCAGGACCCCAAAGAAAGAGTCTCCGAAAATCCATGCAGACTTTCGGAGGATCATGGATTCTATGCAGTGACCCCTAAACCCTAAACCCTGAAAGCCCTAAACTGACCCTCAGAAGCCACCCGACGGAGCAGGGCCCGAACTCCCAGGGCCCCCGGATCGTCGTAGAGACACTCGCGCAGCGGATGCGCCTAGCACGGCGGCGGGCTCTTCCAATTCTACCACTGACCGATTATCTATACAGAGAAGACCTTGTCATATGTAATATCATAATGCAAAGTGCGATGGAACATACGATGGTACATACAGTACTATGCTGCACTAGCTCTAGTAGCGCTGTCGGCTGCTTCGAAATGTCTTGGGAAGTCCTCCACATCGGTAGTTCTCTATATGAGGGTCCCCTTCTAGGGTTTTTCCTTTTCATAAGGATGCCGTCCTATGACCTAAAAAGGGACCCCATTTTAGAGAACTGCCCACATAACTGCAGAGTGCACCGGACTGAAAGGAGCCGCCGGGAATCTACGAGGAGCGCCACGGAACTAGCTGCTTCATTTCACGCACGACCTTCTCGGCTTATTTGTGCGGTTGCGAAGAGTTACTGTACCCCTAAGGCTGGCCTTGACGGCGGAGGAGATGAGTTTGCTGTACCCCACCTCAGAAAACACCAACATACGGAAGCACTCGGCCTGTCACACGGTAAACATCCGGTCACGCAAGCTGGCAACCTTGCCGAAGGGAAGCAGGCATATCACGGCACGTGCTTGTCACGGGAACGTTGACATTCCGAACTTGGCAAATTCCACTGAGAGCGAGCGAGAAAAAAGCAGGCTCTGAGACTAACAGATATGCTGGACTCCGAGCTTGGCCGAAGAGGTCGATCCCTTCCAAGCCTTCCTGTCAAGCATGGATCTCAGCATTTTGCACACAAAGGGAAAGGGAGTCGCCAATGCTGTCCGATGTCCTGCACGCAGATTACGTCAGGGCGAGGCACTGCAGATGTGATCTCAACCAGCCGACGCCTGCCAACCAAAAGCACATGGCAAGTTCTCAGTTACGCAAACAGTGTGGGATGCCACGGCCTTGCAAGAGTCGGATCCTGGGGAAAGCTTGCCAGGTACTGCATGTTCAGGGTCATGACCTTCAAAGCGCAAAAACCGACGAAAAGGCCGACTCCCTGGAGCTCCAGAGAGCTCTTCCGAGGCCCCGGCCACGAGCTCCCGACCCGGAGCGGCCGCCGCGTGCAGGGGCCGCGACGCGCCGGGGCGTAGCGAGGCAGACCATTCCGCGCCGAGATCTCCTGGCGAAGCGGGAGAGGAACTCCCCGAAGCACGAGGAGAGCCTGAGCCACATGTAAGAAGCACCTCCTGTGTTGATCTCGGCCTTGACCTTGTGCAGATTCCCCACTTTCAGAGACAGCCTCGGAAGCTCAAGTTGCAGAGCCGACACTTCGATGCTTGCGTTAGCTTGCATTGCTCATTGCTCTCAACTGGGACGTGCCGGGACAACGACTGCTTGCCGGAGTGCAGCATCACCGCCAGTCGCCCCAGCTGCTGAGCCTTTCAGTATACATCGACATCACGGCTGCTGTTTTAGAGGCATACCCTGAACCCCCAAACAGGCCTGCTCCGGAAATTCCAGGGGCAAGACGGTGCCCCGCTGGCCATTGAGCTCCAGCTTCGACAGACCCCTGAGCTGTGTGTCTGTAACACTACTACAGTTTAGGGTTTACGGTTAATCGACTGTTTGGGGGTTGCGAGCACCCCTGCGTTTGCAAGGCACTGAAAGCTGCTCCGCGACCATGCAACAGCAGCAGCAGCAGCAGCAGCAGCAAAGACACACTAGGACTAGGAAGGCAGAGGCAGTTAAACGAGCCCTCCCACAGAAGCGAAGCGTGAACATGTACAGAGGATACCAGACGCGCCGAACCTTCCGCGCGGAAGCTTCATCGAAAAGTATTCAGTTGGGCATCGTCAGGCTGTGCACGGAGACCTTTCTTTACCATTAGAGTAATACCAATACAGTCATACCAATCATACCAATCGATTTTTTCTGATCTGTTTGTAGTATTAGTACATATTAGTACTAATGGAATCCTTTTTACTTTCTCCCTTGCACTGGTTCCTTCTCTGCAGTGCTACCTCACTCTCGCGGGCCTGAGCTCAACTTCATCTCCGGCACTGAAGCCCCACTCCTCCATGGCTCATCGCTTTCTCGCTCTGTGGGCGCGGCCCTAATTGGCAAGGAAGCTTTGCTTGTCTCTATCTGCTTGTAAGCATGGAAGCTTCTACTAACGTCAACCCCTAAAGCCCTAAAGTGTAGACGACTAGACTCGACTTGATCGCCTCTTCCATGTAACTTTCATGTGTTCCTTCTCATACTCTCGGCGTCTAGCCTGCTGAGCCCGACAACACCCCCAGCAAAGTGGCAAGTTGGAGAATAACAACCTCACGACAGTCACCTGACAGTCATAAGGAGAATAACAGTAGTACAAATAAGAACGTGAGCTGTCTCTGGGCCCTAAACCCCGAGTTAACATGCTCATCACCCTGAACTCTCCGTCGACGGAACGGGGCCGACTGCCTTGGAATCGGCTGAACCCCGAGCTTCTTCAGAAGCCGCCTCGAGCTCGGCGCACCGATCCAGGGACTCCTGCAAACTCCTGGAGCTTCCAAGTTCTTACCTTTGGTTAGTAGGGAATGGAGGAATGGGGTACAATGATAACTAAAATTACTACCATTCTTCCATTCCCTACTAACCAAAGGTAAGAGTTTTGGGAGGTTTTGGGGTTCAAGACTTGTGTTTGATGGGCTGAGGCTTGGGAGTTTGGGGAGATCTGCTTTTGACGAGCTCCAGGGTTTGTGGCTTCCGATGGCACGCATCGACGACTTCTCTGGAGCTGGAGAATGGCGATAATGGTTCATTGTCGTCGCCGTCTGCACATCCCGGGTTCAAGTTTGCAACTTCGCTTGAACACCTGGCTAAGAGAACCAGGCATCAGCAAGTCGACCCCATGTCTACATTACATGTGATGGCTGGTGTTTTACATGGGTTCGCACAACAGTCGAGGTGCTGTGGTCGATGTCTGACGTACCCTCTGTCCTTGCAAGGCTGACATCCTCTTGCTGGAGAAGGCGGCGCGCCTGGCAAAAAACTGCGCAGTCCCGTGCCTAACGAAGCATGGCTCCATAGGGCCTCCCCGCAGGGCTCCCCTACCTGAAATGTACGGCTTCCTTTTGTCTCCGTCTGTTCAGCCGTGCATGAGGTTCTGTGGTGGTCCCTTTGGGCCAGGGGTCGACCGTCCAAGAACTACCCCAGCGACTCGGGAGCTCGCAAGCAAGGAGGAATCCTCACTGTCCTCCGGCTCCTTCAAAAGCTCCTGGATGTTCTCCATATCATCTGGGAGAGGTTGGGCGCTGGTTTCCAGGATCGCTCTCTCGATTTGGACGGACTCAAACCTGCTGAAGAGCTCGTCCTTGGACTGGGTATCCTGCAGGTGCGAGGCGCGTGAGCCAAGTATGGCCAAGTGTGGATGAGTGGAGGGATTTCTAACCACTTTCGGCAGGACTGGACATGCGGACGCAACGTACAAAGAAAAAGCAACGACAGGTTTCGCACAGCTCGAGAGCGCTTTGCAGTGTCAGTTCTAGTTCTAGCACTTATCTTTCGTTAGACCCTCAGCCAGGGCTGCTCTTAAAGCTGCACAGCATATCGTGAAGGTGGCTACCGCGGGCTGAAGCTCCGCACAACCGAAAGAACATCCTGCCGAAAAGATTGGAGGGGCAATAACTGCAAATCCCATGACAAGCCCTGGAGTCAAGGAACGCACTAACATGCACGGGTGTGTATGTATGTATGTATGCATGTATGTATGTATGTATCAAATGTATGTATGTATGTATTGTATGTAATGTATGTATGTATGAATGTATGTATGTATGTACATATAGGTTTACACATACACAGACACTTATGCATACAAACCATTATGCGTATGCATATAATTGAACTTGCACATATACACATACCTCTACATACACATATACACGTATATACATATGTACATCTATGCTTATACTTTGCATGTATATACATATACTACACATGCATACATACACATATACATATACTTTCACATGTTCATATACATCTAATCTTACATGAACATATACATATGCATATACATACACACATACATACACATGTACGTCGGTGTGTATATATTGTTAGCACGTACTTGTACATGTACGAGTATATGCAAATACTTTACATATACTTCCACACACGCTTACAAATATAAACACATAGTTGTACATACATAAGTGTATCGTTGTGCAAACGCATATATGTATGCATGTGTATGCGTATGTATACAAATAAATATGTAAATACACACATATATATATGCATATATATATATATATGCATATATATATATATATGTATGGTTTTGTTTGTCTATGTGCATATGTATACATGCATGTACACATACACATAAGTACATGTATGTGAATAAACGCACATATACATATACACGTACATGTACATACTTAAAAGGTATGTGAATATATATGTATATACATAGATACGTACAGACGTGTACACACACACCTACATATGTATATATATATACATACACATAAACATGCACATAAACGTATACCTATACGTATGACGTATGCATATACATATACATAGACATAGACATAAATGTATACAAATATATATACATATATTATATATGTGTGTATACATGTTTTTTTCGTACACAGATTCATTTTCATATTCTCATACATAGATATGCACCAATAGGGGAGAGCGAGAGAGAGATTGCGTAGCAGATATATATCTGTGCGTGCACAAACACAAAGACGCATCTTGACATTATATACGTGCATTGTATATGTCTGTCTAGCTACCTCTCTCTACCTCTCATATATATATATATATGTATATATATATATATACACATACGTGTCAGTAAGTGAGAGAGTGCGAAAGAGAAAGAGAGAGGGACAGAGAGACAGACAAACAGAGAGCCAGCTCTAAACCTTTGCCACTAAACCCTGAACCTGAGCCCTAAATTCGAACCCTGAACCTTTTCCCTTGAACCCCGAACCCTAACCCCTGAGCCCTAAATTCAAACCCTGAACCTTGAACCCTGAGGCCTGAACTCTAAGCTATGAGCCTGTAGGCCCTCCAGGATCGCAGAGCACTCGGCTGCCAGGCGCTCGCCCCGAAGCCGCGACGCCGAGGCCAGTTCGGCGGCCTATTGCTTCCGGGGGTACGCATGTCTGAGATCATCTAAATCACTACATTCACACACGCACACACACACACACACACCTATCCACATGCACATATTATATATATTTATATTTATATATTTATATTTATATTTATTTATATTTATTTATATTTATTTATATTTATTTATATTTATATTTATTTATTTATATATATATATGTATATATATATATGTGTGTATGCACATATATACATACATACATATACATATACATATACATATACATATACATATACATATACATATACATATACATATACATATACATATGCATATACATGTACACATACATATACACATACATATACACATACATATACATATACATATACATATACATATACATATACATATACATATACACATATAAATATAAATATATATATATATATATATATATACATATATACATATATATATACATATACATACATAAGTGCATGTGTATGTATGATGTTCGTATGTATGTGCGCATGCATGTATGCATGTGGGGATGTATGTGTGCATGCATGCATGCATGCATGCATGCATGCATGCATGCATGTATATATACATGTTACATTCAGTACACAGGTACGCAAACACATCCGTAGAATCCTGCGAATATTCTGGTTATAATAGTAAGTCCTTCGTAACACATACTGGCCACAGAAAAGATCTTCAGACCCCTGCCTCTTGGGCTTTCTCTGCCGCATGGCTTGCCATCGTCAGCTCAGCCGTGTCGCGAGCCCGTCGCTGTTTATGGGCCTCATTCATGGCATGCATCACATAGGGACAGACCTTGAGCTCTGTCACCTGATTCAGGGCTTTCTGACCCAAACTTAAACACTGAGTCTCTTACATTATGTATCGATCTGCATCCCATCGCAGACCTCCATGCGATGGATGGTGAACCCATAGCCACGCACGTAGTCCGAAAGCTGATCACGAACCGAACTGGTCATCTCGTCCTTCCTTCCGAACACCTCTTCCAGCTTCAGCCTGTTCAAAAATCCGCACACTGGTCCGGTGAGGAAGGACCGCATTAAGCCGTCGAAATTCTCGTGCACCAACTTGTAGATAGCATCTTTGGCCTTTTTGGGCATCACCGAATACCGGATTGTAATCTCAGCCGTGATAAACTCATGGTCGCGGGTCTGTGTAGATATCGAGCAGTGCTCCTCTTCAACACGAGTGGAAATGGCGCGAAATCCAATGCAAGTTCCACAGATGTCCAGTCCGGCGAAACTAAATCCAGGCCCCAGTAATCTCTGGAAGGCCCCAAACCGCTCCTCGCACTCTATTCCGCTTCGTACTGCTATCAGAGAGTTGTTGAATCTAAACTGTGGAACGACGCGTTCCAAAAAAGCGTGCTGATTAACATGTCCCAAGATCCACGGCCACATACGTCTCTGCCGGCACATTGACCTCAAGGTCTGCCCCAATCATTCACTCCAGAAACAGGTTTGGTCGCAATGAGAACCACATGCCGCCAAGCTTCGCAGCAGTTCGTTCCCGGCAGGCAGCCGCGCTGCGGCTGCATCCCATGGTGCAACGAGGTACACTCCAATCACTCGGAGGCTCGCTGCTTAGATTACGGAGTGAAAGGGGCAATCGAGAGGTGGAGGAAGTTTACTGACGGAGGGAGCTGGATGGCGAAGCTGCTCCTTATTGCTTCAGCTTAACGCTATTTGCTCGTAATGCCGGCACACATTGGAAAAAGAAGCGGGACGGCCAGGGCCATGCAAAAGTCAGAGTGCATGGGCACGTGGCTGAGGGTGAGGAGAGGTATGATCAACAAGACTTTTAGATCTCTCGGGCTCACGAGTGGAAAGAAAAGGCTTTTGGAGCCCTGATCTTCAGGGCTCTCTGGAAGTGCATTTGCAGCTTCAGAGATAAAGCCTAATGAAGCTCGCGCCGGAACCCTCCCCAAGCAGTCCCAGTTTGTCAACTCTTCCCTGACTCTGCTTAGAGCAGAACCTAAATGAAGTGTGACTGTTGGAGCTCTTCCGATTCTTGGACATGGCAGACCCCGTTCACTCCTCCACCCTGGCATCCCAAACAGGTGACCATGGTAGAGGGTGGTCCGTCCAGGGCCGCCCTTACCTCCGCACAACCAGGACCCCTCTCAGCGGTGGCAGCGCGGGACTCTGGAAGCTCTCCATGGACATCCCAGGCTCGGCGATCTTGGTGTCTCTGAGGCGTCTTACTTCCACTGTGCTTCACGTCTGGCGATCTCTAGAGCTACACCTCTTTTGCATAAGCACTGCCGATGCAAATGGTGCAATAGGAGCCGCGGATTGTGCGAACGATACACAATTACGGTATCAGTATATTATAGCAATAGAGTATTTTAGCAATAAAGTAATTTAGTACGATAGTAGCACGGCATTACAGGTTTTAGTAGAATGGTTCAACTAGACAAAAACGACGTTGAGGCCGGGACAGGCAACGCCCGCCTGATGGGGGAAGTTGGCCTGCAACACAGCTCTGCAAACCCTCGGACATAAACCATAAACGACAGCAAGGGCCTGTCTGCGACTTACCATCTTTCTGCAACCCCACGCAGATAGACGCTGAGAACAGCGTCATCGCCCGTGCAGCGGTTGGCTGCGTTCCCCTCGCTCGCTCACTCCTGCCTGCGGTGCTTCGAACACCATGCCGAACAATACGTCTTGCATAATGAATCCACATGGAGTGCAGTCTCAGGCAAGCCAAGCGTGGTGACTATGTACAAACTCTATGTACAAGCTGTTCTTCCTCAGACTCCTCTCCGCTGTCAAGTGATCTGGGCCTCGGCCTCCACAGACAGGCGAAAGGTGCCGGGTTGACGTCCCACTGTCCCACATGCCCAACACACTCACTACACTACTGACTCCGGCTGGCTTCGAACCTGCCCTTCTGCCCCTGACCTGAGTCATGGTTCTGCCACCCCTCAGCCTGCGCTATCTTCACATCCAGCGCCAGTACCACAGCGTCGCTGCCTGCTTGAACGAAAACTCACGTGGACAGGTCCCCATGGTGGGATGGTCCGACGTCTGAGATGCGAGCTTCCGTAGACGCCGCTGTCGAGTAGCTGACGCCGCTGCGTGCGGAGCCAAGCCTCGCTATGCTCGGAGTTCTTACATCACGGTTGCTCCCTGTCGCAAACCGACGCAAGACCCCCTGGGTATGGATGATTTGGGGGCTTCCGAAAATAGGGGACCCTAATATGGCACCCTAAATAGTAGGATCCTTATCATTATAAGGATCCTAAAATACGGTACCCCAATGTTCGGAAACGCCCGTTTAGTTCTGTTTCCCATCGTCTTCTCCACGGCTTGGGGGCCGTAGCTTTCAACGAGGCCCAGAAAAGCACGAAGCGATGGGGATAACGATAATTCCGAATGAACCTTGACAATAAGGTTGCTCTTGGTTTGTGAGGTTGCATGTGTTCATCGGGAATGTGCACGCAGAAGCGAAATCAGCCTTGGCAGGATAGGGACCTTACAAGAGCATGCGACCGCCACAGCAGGCCGAAACATGCCCGAATTCGTATTAAAAGGCTTCGTCAGATAGCATTATTCAGACCTAGCCTGTTGGCCTCTGGGCCACTCGGGAAGGAGCCACAAAATTCCCAAAAAAACAGCAAAAACTGCTCAGGGCCAGATGGACTCTCTAAGCAGCCGCACGAGGTGACGCTCTGCTTTTTCAGAATCCTCCGAAGCAGATGACACTGTGGGGGGGGGGGGGGGGCAGGGCACTTTCCGTGCAGATGTCTGGCACCGACACCCCGCCATCCCTCGTCCTGTGAGGTCTGCGGCACTGGACCCGCCGTGGGCCTCCTCCAAGCAACTTCCGGCGAAGGCTTTCTACGGTTTAGGGTTGGGGGCTTTGAACTTAGGGTTTGGGGCTTAGGGTTTAGGGTTCCTCCAAACAACTTCAAGCGAAGGCTCGGGAAGCCAAAGATAGCAATGTGGGCACTAATACACTACCCTAAATAGTAGGATCCTTCTTATTAGGACCCAAAAACAAGGTATCCCTTACTTTCGGAAACCCTAAACCCTAAACCCTTTATAGAACCCTTATAGATCCCTTAAAGGAACCCCTCAAAGGATACTTTTCGGAACCTCCCAGTGCTCCGCAGACCTCTCCGGCTCTTCTCGCGTCTGCTCGGGCTCAGCCCGGTCCCAGTGAGACCTGTCGGCTCGCGATTCCGCGGGGAGACGGCAAGGGCAGCTGGAAATGTATATATATATATATATATATATGTATATATGGTGTATATATATATATATATATATACGGCATATATATATATATATATATATATATATATATATATATATATATATATATATACATATATATATATATGTTCGAAAAGGCAGCTGCACTATTCTCAACTCTACCATGTAGAGCTCAACTCGCTGACTCTCTGTCGGAAACATGTCGGCTGCACGCCAAGTTTGCCAGCTCATGCCGGACCTGCGACTGCGCGCCGTCGCATGCATGGGAGGCTGCTCGATCGTAGTCTGGACTCAAGGGCAGCAGCTCCGGCCTAATATAATACGGGCCGAAAACATTACCTATGCTATTTTGGTGCTTTTTAATATAATTATAATCTAATAGGCCCCAAAACACACTTCTAATTATTAAGGCCCCTATACTACAACGAAGTTAGGCGCTGCTCTGCTCTGCAGTTCCCCACAAGCACCCCGCCTTGCGCAGGGCTTCAGTGATGCTGTTGGTCACATCCCCAGCCGAAGATGATCCTGTAGGCGCACAAGGGCAGAAGAGAAGCACCTTCAGGGCTTAGGGGTTTAGGGGTTTAGGGTTTAGGGGTTTAAGCTTCAGGGAAAGCTGACGAGCATGATGAGCCTGCGCTACCCAAGCACCAAACGATGGATCTGGGCCACCCCGCCGAGTACACCAAGAGCCGTCAGGGCGGTCTCCTACCGCCAGGGACGCCCCACTTTCACTTCAGTGTCCTATCGATACTGCATCAAAACATAAACCCAAACCCTTAACCTTGAACCCTGTATCCTAAATCCGCCCGCCTGGGTCCGGGTGTTCTGCACAGGGCCCGAGCCAAGAAGGCGACCACAAAGCTCCTGAACCTGCCACGACACGAAGGGAGCAGAAAAAAGGGTGTTGGGTTTAGGCCTTGGGGGTTTAGGGTTTTGGCTCAGGGTGTATTAGGGTTTCAGGGCCTAGGGTCTAGGGTTTAGGGGGCCTAAGTGCTTGAAGAATTAGAGTCGGGTTTGGAGCCGGGGTTTCTATACTTGTTATTCTTTAACACGTTCATTAGTTGGTTAGTTCGTGAGTTAGTTAGTGAGTTAGGTACTCAGTTACCTTCGCAGGTACTTAGTTAGTTAGTTAGCTTGGTAGTTAGGTTAGTTAGTTAGTTAGTAGTTAGTTAGATAAATAGTTAGTTAGTTAGTTAGTTAGTTAGTGAGTGAGTTAGTTAGTTAGTTAGTTAATTAGTTAGTTAGTTAGTTGGTTAGGCAGTTAGCTTGGTAGGTAGCTAGACAGGTAATCAGGTAGGTAGTTAGCTAGCTAGCTAGCTAGTTAGTTAGTTGGTTAGCTAGTTAGCGAGCTAGCGGGGCAGTGACAGTGAGCTAGCCAGGTAGTCAGATAGCTAGTTGTTAGTTAGTTAGCTGACTAGCTGGCCAGCTGGCTAGCTAGCTGGCTAGTTATGTAGTTTTTCATGTATTTCAATATTTTTTAGCTATGTTCACATTAACCTGGGCCCAGCTCGGCCTTGTTCTTGAAGTGGTCTCGAGAAGCGGCGATGGCCTGGCAGACTTCGAAGGCCCCAGGAAGCGCTCAGATCAGAACCCTCCCGGGCTTACCTTATTCCGGGTATCCTTGTAACAAGGATCCGTTCTGTAGGTTCCGTATCAGGGTCCCCAAGTTTACCTTATCTGGGAGCTTCCGAAAATTGGGGGTACTTTATCCTGGGGTCCTTATAGTAACGATCTTATTTTGGGGCCCTTATAATAAGGATCCTTCTAGTTACGTTAGGGTACTATGTTAGAGTCCCTTATTTTCGGAAACTTCCATTTGAGATCCTTGATATGCCTGCGATTTTCCGAAACTGCCGAAATGTGTGCTCCCGGCCTCCCCTCGGATCTCCTGCTCTCGGAGGCGCCTCCACCGCACAACACATCCCCAAGTTTGGGCTGGATTTAGGCTTTACGTTTTGCTGAAGTAGCATTTGCTGCGCGCTTCTCTGTAGCTTGTCCGAGGCGCTCAGGCTGCAAATCCTGAAGCAACATGAGACTTACCCTTTGCCGCTGCACCGGTTTCATATCATGCTGCCGGTGGGGGTCTTGTGGTCACGAACTTGTGCAAAACTAGCCTTGCGGTCTGCGTTCCTTCTGTCGGTTTCTCCCTCTCATTTTTCCCCCTGGATGCACTCGGACAATGCAGGGCTCGCAGGCCCCTCGCGCTCGAAAGCGCACCAGTCTCACCCCGCTTCTCTCTCTCTCTCAAGCCCATTCGTCTTCTACAAGGATTGATTGAACACATTTGGTGCTACGGCTATCTCCTGATGCAAGATGCAACCAAGACACAAGCGCAGTTCTTGCAACTCCTGCCGAAGAAGCAACAGGACACTTGAAGTCGAACAGAACGGAAATAAAGGGGTCTATAGGGGTGACTGTAAGGTCTATAAGGATTCTATAATGTGGGGGCCTTGGGAGTTAGCATTGGGGTTTTGGGGCCCACTATACTATAATTACAATAAGGAACCCTCAAAGTAGTATTCGTAATCATTGAGGCCCCTATATAACTCGACGATCTCCAATCCGGGGTTCGGCTCAAGAACTTCCCTCCCCGGTCCCTCCCCGGCCCGGAGGTTATGGCCCTTTTTTTCCTAGCCATACCAGGCACTGACCCAATCAGCCGGTGAAGCGCAAGGCGTTGGCGCAGCTGCGGAGAGATAAACGTCGCATCAAAATTCTCGTCTGTGAGCTGCTTCGTAAATAGCTGTGTCTTCAACAGAAGAACCAGTAAAGTTGAATTTGGATAACCTCTGCTCATAGACAAACTTTTTGGAGAAATGCAACCAGGTCTGTCTGCGGCGGTCACTTCTGCGTTTTCCATAGTCAACTTTACAAGCACTGTCTGGCAAGAACGAAATTTGCCGCATAGGATCTTCATTACCCGATCTTAGCACATGCCCTAACAATCTCGCCCTACGCTCTTGATGGTAATTGCCAAATGATGATATTTCCCTGCGGTCACCCTTGTCGGAAAAGCTGCTGCTGTAGCAGCCTGCAAAAATTTCTTATTCGTGTTGGCTCTGTTAATGAAAGTAGAGGGCATTCCTAAAATTCTACGTAGACATCTGTATTGGAAAGCATCAATTCTCTTGTACATGGCTTGAGTCAAGTGAACAGTTTCCAAACCATACAACAACTTACTTCGAATAATGGCATCGAATACGATTAATTTCCACTTCTTGCTGGCACATGTTGCTTTCCAATACGAACTGAGCTTAAACCAGGTGCGGCGAACCTCTTGAATCTTGCTCAATATTTGTTGCTGAATATTCACTTCTTGGTTGAGCTCGTTGCCTAAGTATGTCGCCTCAAAGCTCTTCGTCAAATCAGAGCCGTCTGCAAAGTGAATTTTTCCGTCATTATTCAAAGGGATCGCCACGCATTTTCCTCTGTTGAGGTGCAAACCATACTGTTTAGAGATTCTTTCTGTGAGACTGAGAAGCTCGTTCAGTCCCCGGTTTGATCGCGAGAAAAGGATGGTATCATCTGCATAGTAAATCATATCGTAGTCAAGACCTGGAATTCGATTCTTAACAACATGGCAACTGACGGCTTCTCTGATGTCTGTGTCTATGCAAGTCATGACCATAACAAATAAAAAAGGTGAGAGAGGACATCCTCGACGGATGCCTGATGATTGTACTTTCGTTTGGGACGTACCGTATTCGTCTTTGACATAAAGCTCTGGCTTTCGATAACAGTCGTGTATCACATCCAAGTACTGATCAGGGAACCCCAATCTACTTAAAGCTTAAGGTCTTGTTTGAGCATTACTACACAGTAGCTATATAGGTGGTTGTCAAAATTAGGGTCCGTTTTTGGGTACCCTAAATATTAGGTGCCATTCTATATTAGGGACCCAAAAAGGGAGCATAATTTGGACAACCCCCCACATCCTTGGGTACCGGGTGTCCTCTTTCAGCTCCGGCGATGGCGCCATCATGGCCTGAACATGGTGTCCGACAGGTTGGAGCTACTGTTTGTGGTGTGTTTGCAGCACGAATGCAAACAGAACTCGTGGAAGGAATACAACAGAACCCCTGAGCACATGCGATGGTGACGAGAATACACCAGCAACGACAACCACAGCAAGGACCATCAGCACAACGCTGAGCACGACAACAGGAGGCAGTGGGCCACCAGCACCACTCGAAGGAGCACGACAACAGCAGGCGCACATCCGGAATCCAGGAATCCAGGGCTCGTGCTCGCAGTTCCGCGTCGCGCTCGCTTTTGGCCTCTTCCAGGCTCCGGAGTTTCGTCGAAGCAGTGGAGAGCTGGGCCTGGCTCAGAGCTGCGCCGGGGCCAAAACGCGAAGGAGGGAGGATGCTGGAAAGGCGCATGGCCTCCATTCCTGCCACCTGCTCCTCCAAGAACTGACTCCGTGCGCGGGACAGTTCCAAGCCTGCAGCATGGGCAGGAGAGCGGATAGTGCGCAGGGAGCTCAACACCCGCAACATCTCACGCTCTCGCTTGGGGAGAGGCTGTGCGAAAGCTCGGACATCTCCTGCCTCAGAATGCAGACTGCTATTCAGAGGCCTTTGGCTGCAGAGGCTAAGGGCAAAGGTCAGGGGGTAGCACGGGCTAGAAAGCTTGGAAAACCCATGTGGGCGACAGTCTTGCGAGGCCGCGACTTGGCCACATCCTCTCGCTGCGCCACTGCCTCTGCTCAATACTTCCACGAGCTGCAAAAATCCCAAGCACCATAACGGACATCACTCAGCTGAATCCTGAATCCTTCAGTCGAGACTCCAATCCTCGAGTCTTTATGCCTGCAATATGGGAGCTTCCGAACCGAAAATAGGGGACCCTAATATAGTACCCTAAATAGTAGTAGGATCCTTATTATGAGGACCCCCAAAGTAAGGTACCCCTAATTTTCGGAAACTCCCATATTGTAGCTCTCAGAATCCCAAAAGCTTTAAAGAAGCCCTCGCCCTCCCCCTGGTCTGGGCATGGGCACCATCTCGGTGTCTCGCTGGGCCTTGAGCTGCAGGCTACCCACCTTGGAGTGTCGAAGGTGTTGGGAGGGTCTTTTGCTCCTTGGGCCTTCATGGACCCTGAAAACCTTACTGGGATACTCCAATTGTATGTGCGACAAGCTATGGGAGAATTCCGATACGCAAAGTCCGGTCAGAAGGCTAGCAACTAGTAGGAAAGCTCATTTGGAGGGTCAGGTTTTGCTGCAATAATGTGAACTCCACATTGTAAAATTCTCTGGGCTATTGTAGTAACAAACATAAAACAAACTGCGCATCCACACTGCAGCCTTGGCTGTCTACTGGCTTGGCTTGCAAGGAAGCCTACGACGGACACTTGGCTGGCCAGCGAAGTTGGCTTTCTTCAGCAGTAGTTGCTTTAGCAGCAGCAAGAGCAGGAGGAGGAGTCTGTGGTAGCAGTTGTCGTAGCAGCAACAGCAGCAGTAGCAGCAGCAGCAGTAGCAATGTCGTCGCTGTCGTAGTCGTCATAGTCGTAGCAGTTGCTGTAGCCGCAGTAGTCGTAGTAGTCGTAGCAGTCGTAGTAGTCATGAGAGCACAGTAGCCATCGTACAGCAATAGCACAACTGGCAGTAGCAGCAGTAGTATCAATCCTCACCCCAGTTCTTGCAAAACGGGGCTGACACACGTGCTTCCTCCGACGTGATGGAGAGCTCTTTTTGCTGAAGCTCCTGAGAATGGCGGAAACGCCCTCCTTTCAATCAAAGAGTTGGCTCGTGCTGGGGACATCACCTGAAGCTTCCTCCTTACCGTGGCTTCGACGTGCTGGATCTTGGCCTGCGGCCGGAAAGTCTCAGTTTGAATCCGATTCGCCACCAACAACCTGCACACCAAGTGCAACCTCACAATCAATGCAGGAAAATGGCAACGAGGTGTGCACACAGAAACACTTCCCGTTTTGCTGGTGAACCGAACGGTCCAAAGAGTACATGCAACGTTCGCAGGCACGTGAAATCAAGGAAGAAGGGACACATGCTCTTCAATATGTACTCGCAAAATGCAAACGAGAAGCGTGAATCACCACTGGTTGAAGACACCTCAATGTAGTTGAAGGCACAGGAAACCTTTGGACGCTCCAGACTACATGTACGGAAAGAGCAGATGTGCTGACGCGATCGGTTGCAAACCTGTTACGAGAAAAGTGCTGCGCAGAAATGCACCTGCAAGCAGTGGGCGAAGAGGCATCTACTGTGTTTAAAAGAAGTCCGAACAATACGGCCCACAAATTAACCAAAACGCCACCACAACTCTCACTCTTGTCACCTTGACCCCAAATCAATTTACACTGTCTTTACTATCAAACTTAGCACCTCCATCACGACGAGTGCGTGCTCTCAAGCCACTGGCGAAGCAACATACCTTTGACTTTTAACCTTTAGATGTGTGCTGCAGGAGCGCTCCCGGCCCGGGATCATCACATCAAATAGGCTCCTTTGTATAGCGTTAGCCCCTCACCTCCCGATACTAGGCAGGAGTTGGTTTCGGATGCTCCTGACCTGCAGGGATCTGCAGGCACAGACCAAAACACGATCAGGAAATGCGTCACGATGCAGTATGATGAAGCAAACCCGCCCCAAACTCTGAGATTCTGAGATCCAATCCCCTTGGCGAAGCGGCACCCATTATCCTCGAATGGAAGTGCATGAGCCTGCCGCTGGGCAAATTCGGCGGCTCGCACCTCCTGCTCGAAAAGTTGCGGGGGTTGGGGCATTCGTGGAGGATCATGGGACTTAGTAAGTATGGTTATAAGTACCTTAATTGGGGTTAATTCTAAGTATAGTTGCCTTAATGATAACCCTAGTTACTAAGTCCCATTATCCTTTAAGTTATACGACCCTGCAATCGTCGGCGTTATGCGTAGTATTTTATACTATAGTATATTATATAGTAAATTACAAGTCGGCGTTATGCCTGTTCCGAGTTCACGGACTTTCAGCGCAGAACGAGATCGTCCTCCCGCTGTCGATACTCCTCCTCCAGGCGGGCCTCCGCTGCGGGGGGGGGAGGGTTTGGGGCTTAGGGTTTGGGGTTGGATCGGTTGTAGCTGCCTTGTGTCAATCGACTAACACATCTTTGAGGTCGAGCTGCTTTCAGGTCGGCTTCCTGCTCTGCCAAGTACGCCCGGAACTTTTCCTCACAAACGGAGGCTGAAATGGCGCCAGAACCCGGGTTCTTGAACAACTTGCACAGTGCATGCACCTCCTCCGTTTGCCGCCAGAGCCTCCGCGCTGCGATTGCACCCTATACCCATGCTCACACTGCAGGATTCGTGGTCTCACGTATGAGAGCCGGGCTCCAGTCCGAAGGCACTTTCCAGCACGGACTTCTGATTGCTGGCCTGGATGACGACTTTGCTGCTGGAGACACGCTTCTTTGGGCACATGCAAGGATGGCGAATAGAAGCCGAAAAGCTCTCCTAAAGGGGTCGCCTCTGTCGTAGGAAGGCCAGAAGCTTTGGCGGCATCTGCCTGATGCGCCTCGCAAGAACTCCAACTCGAAGGATAAGAGCAGATGCTGTGCGGGTTTGGCATCTCAGGCCTCGTTGCCCCGTCTTACGGAGACTGTCTCTGGGGCAGCAACCTGCTCAGCAAAATCACAAGATAGAGATCCCATTGAAAGCTCTTCCCAACTGCAAGAGCCCACCTCGCGCTTGGGAGCGTCCTGAACCAGTTTGGGCTCTGTGGATCCGCTAGCACAGGCGAACCACATTGAAAGGCCTAAGGCATCAAAGTACGGCACATTCAACTCGCATCGGCAATACAGCACGGTCGGTCACTCCGGAGCACCGAAAGCCCTCATGGTAATGGAAACTAGACTCAGACTTGGGATTTCGAGGTAGGTTGCAGATCAGCACAATCATCCCTCACAGTCCACCTCCAAACCTGAGCACAAGAAGCATATAGGTAGGCCGGTACGCATAGGGCCCCGTATAGTGCTCCAATTGGTCCCCCTTAGTGTACTCCCAGTCTCCTCGGATTTGGCCGCCTTGGCCGCACCCAAATCCTCAGCCGCCGAGTCTTTTACGGATGCAGGGAGCATCCGCCAGTAAAGGGCACTAGCCTTACCTCATAGTTCTAGTACCAGTAGCAGCACTAGTGGTAGGAGTAGGAGTAGGAGTAGGAGTAGGAGTAGGAGTAGGAGCAGTAGGAGTAGGGGGAGTAGTAGTAGTAGTAGTAGTAGTAGTGGTGGTGGTGGTGGTGGTGGTGGTGGTAGTAGTAGTAGTAGTAGTAGTAGTAGTAGTAGTAGTAGTAGTAATAGTAGTGGTAGTAGTAGTAGTAGTAGTAGCAGTAGTAGTAGTAGTAGTAGTAGTAGTAGTAGTACTAATACTAGTACTAGTACTAGTACTCGTACTCGTACTCGTACTAGTACTAGTACTAGAACTCGTAGCAGCACTAGTAGTAGTACTACTAGTCTTATTGCTGCTGCCACGACGGCTGCTCCTACTCCTACCACCGCGACGTGTGGCTGCAGTATTATCCTCGCGGTCGTCATCATCACCGGAACCACCATGAAACATTTTGCGGGCCAAGCCAGCAGCAAACTCAACGATTACCATCATTATCGCCAAATCGTCGCAGCCTCCCACATCATCGCATCGTGATCATCATCACCATGGTGATTATCAACATCAGCAGCAGCCGCATCATCATCAACAGCGGCAGCAACAACAGCAGCAGCACGAGCAACATCTGCAACATCGTTATCAACATCGCCATCACCAGGGGCATCATCTTCATCATCAGCCAGCAACACCAACTTCTTCTTCTTCATAAATCATAATCATCATGAACAGCGGCACCAACCACAACAACTGCAACATCCACAACAACATCCTGATCGTCATTCTCGTGGTCGTCGGTCGTCGCCGCGTGCGTCGTTCTGGTTACCGCGCTATCGCAACCTTCTTCGCCAACGCCATCATCATCATCATCAGCAGCATCGGCATCAGCATCAGAAGCTGCAGCGAGCAGCAGCAGCAGCAGCAGCAGCAGCAGCAGCGGCGGCGGCGGCGGCGGTAGCGATAGCGGTAGCAGTTGCGGCAGCAGCAGCAGCAGCAGCAGCAGCAATGATCACGATTCTCCAACTGCCATCAAAACGGCCATCATCACACGTGTCATCATTGGCTGTCCACACAGGATGAGCACTCACCTGCACCTGTCCCTTCACACTGCAACCCTTGCCCATCCCAACGCGGTGCTACTTGGGTTTGACACATGCTTCTCGGCCTGGCCTCCAGGAAAACGAGGAGTCTGAGAACGCCAGCCTACGAACATCAGCTCTCCCATCACACCGATGTTGGAGGTCGGGAACTGTGCAGACGGCTCCCTACATCCTCATGAGGGCGACTTCTACTATGCCACAGCCCATTGCATCCACAGCGCAGGAGATGCAAGAGCGTGGCGGGCTCCTGGGAGCCGTCCTCATCGAGGATCGGACAGGCCTGGCGAGTCTGAATACTTTGGGATCTACGAGTCTACGAGGACTGTGTCCCTGTCTCGTTGCCTGGTCCACGACGCGAAAGCCCTCCACCTAAGGCTTCGGCGGCTTCGGCTGTCCCCTGAGACCCATCTCGAGGCCCCAACCATGGAGGGAAGGTTGGCCGAGTACTGCAGTGGCTGGTTCAGCACGTGGCCTTATGGCTCCGTCACAAAAAACTCCGAGTTCGAGTGAAGGGCGTCTTCTGGAACGGACAGCTGCCCTGAGAAGTTGCGCTCGAGGCTGCCCGCGCACTGTCTTTTTCTGACCTGTCTACATGCCACTGCATGGCATTCCCGGTTGCTACTTAGCAGGCGGGGACCTGACGGGAGCTCCCACAGTCCGACGGGTTCTTAGGAGCGGAGCGTCTAAGCGAAAGTCGGGTCAAGTCGGGAGATGTCGGGAGATGTCTGGGCGATCTGTGGGCACCCGAGTGCGGGCTTTCGCAAATTAGGCTCAAGCGAGCGGATGCAGATCGGTAGGCGCCTTCGGCGCAAAAGATCGGTACTGTTTTGGTGAAACGAAACTTTGAGGCCCTTAGGTTTAGGAGCTGTTTTGGGAGCTCCTGGAGCTGTGATCTGACTGCCCTGCCTGGGAGCTGGAGTCGCCTGCAAAGGAGGAGCCGGAATGCTCGCTGCTGGCTCCGCCTTTCCTCCTCTTGCTGGAACGGAGGACCAGCTTCTCCAATCTCTCGAACTTGTCCTCCTCTTGAGTGTCCTGCTAGGAAGGAGGCCGGGCTTCTTTCAGTTGGGAGGAGCTTCTTAAGGGCTGAAAGGGAATGGAACCCCTCCCCCGTCTCTGTCCTCGGTGTGCTCTTGTGGCCATGGCATGGTGGGGGCCGTAGAACCGCCATAGCGTCGGATGGTGTCCTCTGTGAGCGGGTTGATATTCGCAGCCTCCGTCACCTGAATCCCACCTGCTAGGCCCACGTCCCCCTCGTTGAACTCCAGGCGCTCTTCGAACTGAAGACCTTCCCGGAACCTCATCCAGTTCTTCCTGGGTACCTGTTCCAGTGTTGCGGCGATGACACCGGCACGGTTCAGCCTCGCGAAGCCTTGCATGTCTTCGAAAACGTCATGGTATGATTGATTGAGCTGGGCGATGAGAAGATTAAGAAGGAAAATGCTGACCACCGCCACGAAGACGGACACGGCTGTGAGTACAGCAACCTCTGACTGGAAGTCGTCGTAGCTTCTTGCAGGGAACATCCCGAGGGTCATCTGCACCAGACTGACTAACCAAGGGTCGATGCCAGTGAAGTTTTCAAGCCCATGGTTCAAGGAGCTTATCGCTGTGGCGAAGGCCAAGACCAAGAACACAATGGCGAGCACGAAGAGGCCTACATCCGCAAGCACGTGGCCACAGACGAGCACGAAGGCCGAAATTTTCATGGAAAAGAGTGTGAAGTCCATCAACAAAACCCAATACAGGAGCATTGCAAAGCAAGAGAAGATGGAATAGAGATCCTTAATTGGCTCTGATGCCTCGCAGTTGTTGGTGAACAAAAGCCCCACAGGATTGTCGGTGGTGAAGATTCCACACCAAAGAATGGGCTCCTCGATGTACATCAGAATCAGCAAGATCACCAACAACAGGTTTCCTGCATGCTGAGGACTGCTCAAGTATTTCGGAACCGGACATAGGTAAAACCACATCAGATTTCTAGTCTTCATGTCGGAGTAGAAGAGCTTGCATTGGTTGTAGAACAACTTGGTCAAGCTCCCGAAGTACAGGAAGCACCTGCAAACGAAACGAGCTATGTTCTCCTCAAGCGCCTCTGTCCCATCATGCCGGAAGAGGAGCGCTTGGCTGGTGACGAAAACGCATAAGGCAAAGAGGAAGTAGCATCTTCCAAGCAAGAAGTGGTACATGGCAAGCCGATTCCAGATCAGATCCGCAAAGAGTACCACGACTGGGTGGACAATTATCTTGGGATCCTTATGCTCGGCCAACCACTCAAGAGCCTGGTTGCTGTTTCCGTCCAGGTCTTGCACTAAATGCTTCACGTAGTAGTTCACGCGGCGCAGGCCCTGGTAGGTGAGTCGAGATCGCCAGATTAGGCCGTCCAACAAAGTCCACAACAACGTTGGCGCGTCTTTGCACAAACGCTGGATAATGTCTGGATGCCTTGTGAAAAGGTCGTCATAACCATAGTAGTAGACGTCCCTGTCTGCACGAATGGTCAGCAAGTCGACGATCATTGCTCGCGCACTGTTTAGCGCACCACTCTCGATGGCCCAAAAGAGCGGAGAGATGGACTGAGTGCCTGTGGGGTTCAGAACATGCCCACTCTAAACCAAACTCCCGAAGCCTTATCTCCCCGAGCCTACTGAGATGTTCAAGAGCTCTGTAGCTCGCTTCCCTCTCGGAGCGATGGAAATGGCCTTCCTCAAGGCCAGCTCCTGCAAGAGAGTCAGGGGTTCCAGGACTCCCCGGTTCCCGTGACAGCTTTGGGGTTTAGGGTTTAGGGAGGCAGCGCCTGGTTGGTGTTGATGGCTCTCATAACGAGGGTTGCACCCTCACTTACCGCCCGCACCAGAATCTTGGACACGAGCGTCAGGGACCACCGAAAACCGGACAGGGCATTCTCGTCGGTCGTCATGGAGCGAACGACATCCACTCCAGCCGACACGTACCTTTAGATCATATTCCTTTCTCTTCTATTGAATTCTCTTAAACTCTATTCAATTCTACTATGTTCGATTACATTTACTTCTATTCTATTCTACTACATCATATTCTACTTTATTACATTTGCACCCATCCACAAAACCCCAGGGCCCCAGCAATTCCTAGACTTCCCTGCACCCAAGGCACGGCCCAAAGAGCTCCGTCGGGATGCCGTAGCCAACGTGCCGCAGTCCCAAACCCGAGATCTCCTCCAAGGGTTTTTGCTTTGGGGCTTAGGGTTTAGGAGGCCCCCAACCAGAGATCTCCTCCAAGAGGCTGGGGTTTAGGGTTTAGGAGTCTCAAACCAGAGATCTCCTGCAAGAGGCTACGACTAAAGACTACCAGAAGCCTTCATACATGGGTGCTTGTCAAAATTATAGTCCTTTGTTGTATCCTTAACATAAGCCGGCACCTAATGTTTAGGGTACCCAAAAGGGACCATAATTGTGATAACCCCCCACATGTTTTGGAGGCCATGGGGTTTCATGATATACAGGGGGAAGTTTGGGCAAGGCTTCAGGAAGGATACGAGAGCGATGACCGTGCTCACAGTGACTATGGGGAACAGAGGAAAACTGCAGCCGCATCAAAACAATTTCGAGCTGTTGTTTCTTCGATGGTGCCACCACCACAGCAACAGCAGCAGCAGCTTCAATTTTAACAGGAGCAGCGGCAGTTCAAAATGACCAGCGAGGCAGGAGACATAGCTGCAGTAAGTAGTCACAACAGTTGAAACAGAAGGCGGTTGCCGCAGTCGTGGTCCTGGTGAGCATGGTAGCAACTGTCGATCGACGCTTGGAGGCTTCCAAATCAAGACCCCACCGCCCTTTGCCGGAAAAATAGTGAAATCCAGGTCGCCTGCACCATCTTCCGCGGCTGGCGGAACATGTCCATAGTAGTTTCCACCTGGAGCTTCAGCAGACGTGCTCAAGCTGGGTGCATCAGGATTGCGGTGATATCTTCATGCTAGAAGGCTCGAGGTCTCTGGGCCACCCACAACTGCTAAGCCACCGACTCCTACTAGCAACAGAAATAGTAATAGTAGTAGTAGTAGTAGTAGTAGTAGTAGTAGTAGTAGTAGTAGTAGTAGTAGTTGTAGTAGTAGTAGTAGTAGTAGTTGTAGTAGTAGTAGTAGTACTACTACTAGTAGTAGTAGTAGTAGTTGTTGTAGTAGTAGTTGTTGTTGTAGTAGTAGTTAGTAGTAGCAGTAGTAGTAGTAGTAGTAGTAGTTGTAGTAGTAGTTGTAGTAGTTGTAGTAGTAGTAGTAGTGGTAGTAGTGGTAGTAATCGTAGTACTAACACCATAGAGCCCATGGAGTCGACTTCCAAAGAAACTCAAGCAGCTCTTGAGTCTACAGGTGCAACGAGACCCGGCAAGCGTTCAAGGAGTCCCCCTCAATCCTCTCCGCCTCTCCCACTTGGAGGGCCTTTGGACTTAGTAAGTATAGTTAGAAGTACCTTAATTGGGGTTATGAGTTATAAGTAGCTACAAGTATGGTTACCTTAACAATAACCGTAATGACCAAGCCCCATGTGCCTTTTGCAAGCCAAGTTCACAAACACAAGCAGCGTTCCCCCTTATCGACCTATCGGAACTCCAACAAAAGCTCGGAATGCAGACTCCGATAGAGTTCCAGAACCCTCCAAAGGATCTTGGCAATGCTAGCTACCACCGCAACTCTGAGGGAGCTCCAGATGTTTGGATGTAACTGGGATTCGTGGGCCAGGGCTTACGACAACCTTCAGCAAGCCAAACTCTCAATTGGGATCTGCACCATGCGGTCGGCCAGAAAGTACAGCCGCGTAGTGGACTGCTTGAAGTGATCTTGGCCTGTGTGTGTGCGCACGCTCACTTGGTTGCTCCTTCCGGTGAAACCTATGCACGACATTGCCGTGTGTACGCAGTTGCTTTCATCTCATGGTTCCCTACCACGCCGACGACTAGGTATGATTAGGTACAAGCTCCACAAGAGCCTCCTGTGCTACTGCTACTGCTACCACCGCTCCTTGAAACTTAGCGTCTTCGCAGCCACGAGGTTTGGGGTATTCGGTGTCTTTCATGGGGTCCACGTAAGGGTTAAGGTCAACGCTCGGGGTTGCTGGGGTTCGGGTATCCGGGTATAGGGTCTAGAAGGATTGAGATCAGGGCTTTAGGAGTTCCCAGGAGCCTTAGCGGCTAGAGTCTAGAGGACTTAGGGTCTTGGTACCTCTGAGTTTCGGTGCTTTTCAAGCAGGGGTGTTAAGGCCTGTACTGACAGGGCCGCTATTTCGGCTGCTTAACACCCTCTGCGTATTGCCCGCTGCCCGCTTGCCCTGCGCCGGGTGACCAGGGTCTCCCAGCTCCTTGACATTTCCGTCTCATCCGGATCCCGGCAGCTGGAGCTGCAAGTCGCCGAGCCTATCTTTTGCTTCGTTTCTTCGATAGGCGCTGCGCCTGGAGCTCCGGGCTGCCTGAGCTTTTCCAGAGCTTCATCCTGAAGATGCCCGAGCGGGGCGCTCTGCACAGCTACGACTACTTCCTGCAGGTTCTGCACACGTCCCGAGAACGTATCAGAAAGACCAGCAGCGATCACTGAAAACGACTTATCCCACTAAGTTCTACCCGGAGGTTACCCTGAACCCTCTCATAACCTGAAAAGCAACAAATATGCTCGCAGCAGGAACGTGATTGAGCTCATTGCATGTCAGTCGGAAACGGTTTTCAAGTCGCCAACTCGCGAAAGGTTTAGGGATTATCTCAGGCAAAAAGGTATGGTAACACGCTCTTCCGATTCAAGTTAACAGATCTATGGGATGTCATGGGTCGAGACACAAGTCCCTTGGAGATTGGCCGATGCAACATTGACATGCAAGGTATGGACGACCACGGAGTGGGTTTCCATTCTGCTGTGTCGACTCTTTGAATGAAGCTGTGGTGGCTGCGGCCCGCAGGCACTGAGGATCGTTGGGAGGGCCCTTTCTAACACGTCAGGAACAATTGATGTTGTTGGGCTCTGGGAGAAGTAAAGCAGGCAACTAAATCCAGTTATTCACACTTTATCATAGTCATAGTTCATGCGGTTTTTGGCCAGAACAAAGCCCCAGTCTGGATTTTGTGTATGTACGGTCCTTCCTTTGTGTTAGTTTGAGTGTTCTTTGCTGTCTGCTCTTGGAAAGCTCGATTCGTTTGGTCTTTGAGCTGTTGGTTTGGAGCGTTTGGCTCTGTTGCATTGCTCTCTGTCGGGCACATGCCGAACCTAATTTGGCCAAGATAGTCCCACTGCTTTTGCCTAACACTTTTGAACCTATGCATGACCATGAACCGCTTGCTTACTTCTGTCGAACTCCTTCATTGCCCCTGTGGGCTCTTTGACTTTGGTCCGGCCAACACCACAAACCGAGATGCCCAAACCGGAACACGTAAAACCCCAAAGCCCGAGAATGCCCTCTCGGACATCGCCTGAGGGTGCATTCTGGAAGAAGCGCTTGTAGAGCTCTTTGCGGAAATAGTCAACCATGTCTTGGGACAGGTTGCTAATGAAGCGCTCTAGCGCCTTCTCCTGGGTCTTGGGCTTCCCCAGCTGGCCCTGCACAGGGCCGGAGCAACAAAAACGACCCTTTAGTCTTGAGCGTGTGTTCCCTTAGGCCCCGCCCCACGCATTGATGATGTGTCACAGCGAGACGATAGTGTCGATCAACAGGCTAGCGAAACTACGAGTATTCTGGAACTCATGGCTTCTGCTCAGCTTGTTATCATGATAACACTTCCGGCTATCAGCTGTTAACATGAAGGGCAGCAGCAACACGAGCTGCGCAAACAGTAGCAAGCAGTTGCAATAGGTGCAGCAGCAGCAGCAGCTGTCGTCGCGGCCGACGTCACTGTCGTGGAAACGGGAGGAGTTGCGTTAGCAATACTAGTAGCGTTCGTAGCTGTGGTAGCAGTGACTGGTAGTGGTGGTCGTGGTAGTAGTGGTGGTAGTAGTGGTAGTAATGGTAGTAGTGGTAGTAGTGGTAGTAGTGGTAGCAGTGGTAGTAGTGGTAGTAGTGGTAGTAGTGGTAGTAGTTAGTAGTTAGTAGTTGTTGTTGTGGTGGTGATAGTGAGAGTTGTAGTCGCAGTAGCAGCAGTAGCAGTGGTAGTGGTACTGGTGGTGGTAGCAGTGGTAGGCACCCCCACCCCGACCAACTACACCTGATCTAAACCATGTTAAAGCAACATCCGTTTTACTCGGAATTTACAGCACTTGCGTCATGTGGGATCCTTTTCTGAAGCCTCAAAATCGACCTGTCGAGTTTGCAAACGCGAGCTTCGGATTTTGGACTTGCTTTTTGGGTGGGGTGCGGGGGGGAAGCGGGGGGACGATGAGGGCATTCTTACGCAAACACCCGAACAATACCTCCAGAAGAACCGTTTTGCACGGGTATTTACACCACTTTCGTGATGTCGGACCATTTTTATATAGTCACCAAACCTACTGAGACGTACTTCTGGACTTTGCGAACTCAACCTTGGGATTTCGGAGTGCTTTCGGCAAAAGCTCGAAATTGGTTGGGGGAAGGCTTTTTCTGGGATGATCACGACACTGTTTCGTGGACACCCCGAACAATATCTGAACACCCTGGCGCGAGAACACCACACACCGCTTCAAAAACAGTTCCTGTGTTGGCGAGCCCCTCCCACGTACAGCTGGCATCTTTGTTTTGAATGCTTAGAAGATGTTGCGCTTCAGGCCCTAGGAGTGTTAAAGCCTTCTTCGCAGTACCTGCATTGTGCATGGACTTTTTACAGCGTTTTCGTACTATCCGACCACCCGTGGTTTAGCTGCTTCTTCCACGTCGTACTTGCAACTCCAGCTGCTGTCGCAGTTTTGGGGCCTCAGCCTCTGCAACTTCACCGGCTTGTACAGATAAGGAATTTTAGCCTCGAAAAACTTCTGCAGCTGTCACAGATAGGGAGCCTGAGTTCCTGCACCTTCTGCAACTGTCGCAGTTACGTAGCCTAGAAGCTGCCAGTTCAGTCCGGATGGAGCAAATGTAGTTGGGAGGGGGTGGGGGTGGCTGGTGGTAGTAGTAGCCGTGGTTGCGGCAGCAGTTGTCGTCGCAGTAGTATAGTCGTCGTAGTAGCAGGAGCTGTAGTGGTGTCAGTGGCAATGGTAGAGTTTGCAGGAGCAACAGCAGCAACAGCGCAGCTGTGACAGCAGTGGAGTCAGCAGCGGTGCTGGCGCCGGCTCCGTTGCAGGTGCAGGTGCAGGTGCGCCGCTGTCGGTCGTGCTATTCAACAGAGGAAGCAGCAGCGGAAGCGGTAGGACGAATGGGAGGACGCGGCAGTATGAATAAGACAGGGAGCAATCGACAAGAATGCAAACTGCACGTGCTTAATGAATGGCCTCTGAATAGTCACCGGACATCGGCAAGGTCAAATGAAGATCTGTTATGCAGAACTATTTCTTTGGGTAGCCTGCTGCCGAATACTGTATGGTACTGTACTGAAGTACAAACTGCCAGGCCGGATGCAGCAGTCTTACATCATCTTGACAAGTGGCCTTGAGAATCTTCTCCACGTTCTCCCACAACCAGCCCCACGCCACCTCGAGAATCCCAGGACTTAGCTCCCCAAGGAGGCCCTGGGCGCCTATGGCCTATTCTTGCTGCACTACCTCTCGCCTCATGGTCACTGTCCCACTCCTTGGGTGCGAGTGAACGCAGGGTGGCCAGCATCACCGAACGGTATTCGTTCAGAAGGATCGCGCCCTCGTACTTCGAAAGGACCAAGGTAAGGACGTCGCACTCCTCGCTCAAACGGTACGAGTTCGCCACATTCATCACGATGGCATCGAACTGCTCCAGAATCAGGCTCATCCAGTTGCTGGTGCCAAAACCCATGACAGCTGCATTGAACAAAAACATGTCTTTGAAGGTGTTTGGTACCTTCACTTCTTTCCCTGCGGCTTTGCCACCAAGGTCAGACTCCTCGTCCATGTCCCTTTGCCGATGCTCTTTCGGCGAATCCTCGTCTTCCTTGACTTCCTCCACCTTGATATTGTTCTCAACCTCCTCGGTTTCAAGGAGTTCTATCTCGCCCTCTTCCAAATCCTCTGCAGCTTTGGATGTGGCAGTCCGCCAACTCCTCTGGATAATTCGAACACGAGAGGCGTACTCCCGGCCTACGAAGCAGTAGGCGCCACCCATGTAGTTCAAGAGGCACTGCCATCCCTTGCGAGCCCTTGTGTTGAAGATATTTGGGCCCAACTCCTGCTCCCACATGTCCAACATGGCTTCCCGCACAATGTCGACAGCAGCCGGTTTTACTGGTCGGTCCAGATGCCGAAAGGCGATCTGTTCGACCTCATTCTTCAACTGCGCAGGGTTTCCCATAGCTGCGACCACAGGACTAATTCCTTGCACGATGCGGAGGAACAAGACGGCTCGAGGTGAAACAAAATAAGCATGGAGGGATGGAGCTGCCTCCCACCAGGAATTAAAGATGATCTCGCCCGCGGCTTCTGGCGAACCTGCATGATGCAAGAAAGCGTCCCACGTGCTCTGAACCTCCTCAACCACTTCGACTGGAAAAGAAACCTTGTCAATGCTTTGATCGTAGACAACCTTCAGGGGCAGGCATGGTTCTCAGGCAGAACTACCTGGCACAGCCCCTTCCACCTCGTACTTTTCCAGAGCGGCATCCGCTTCGACCTCTATCACCTCCGAGTTGGTGTCGGACCCTTCGGATTCCTCCTCACCCGCCTGTTTGCGTTCCAAAGGCCAGTTCCACATACATGTTTTTAACATAGCCATATTTGAAACTGATGTTTCTCCTGGACACGATAGCCATAAAAGACACATACATGCCAGCAATCATAAATAACAACCATTACAGTCGGTATAGTCATGGCAGTCGGAACAGACAAGCGGCATCAGTGTCACTCTTGCTCACTATTATCGGGAGCATCGTCATCATCGATGGTAATCTTCCTGATCCTGAACATCATCGTCGTCACCATCATGTTGTCAGTATGCTTGCCCGTACCCGTTGCCTGATTGATCTTCTGAGTCATCTTCAAAGATATGGCCAGCGTCAGTGTAATCATAATGACGACATCATATTCGAACTCATCCGTCTTAATCGTTAAGTTTCGCCCCCACCTTCACATGAGCATCACTCATTGATAAGACAGTCATATGCCCAAGTAGTCTCGACAAGTTGCAACACCTTTGCAGGCCTGCTCATTCGTCTCCTCATCACCCACATCCTCAATGAACTCCGTTTCCTCTTCCTGATCTTGATCTGACATTCTGCCAAGGCCGCCAAGGAACCTACAATTTGCAGGGCTTGGGCCGGAAAGGCTGCGAGAGGGACAGACCTCCAAGCAGGCAGATTTTTCAGTTGACCTCAAAACTCAAAACATCAGCTGGGTGGTTGTCAAAATCATGACCCCTTTTTGGGTCCCTACTATAATACGGCACCTAATATTTAAGGTACTCAAAAAGGGATCCTAATCTTGACAACTACCCAGCTGGAGAGGACCCTGCCAGGCAAAAGCTGAGCAACATGAGGGGCAGACCAAGCGAAGCCTCCGCAGTGCCCACCGCACTGTCCTTTCTCTGAAGATGCTACATGAATTCAACGTGACACGTGGCAGCATGTAGCGTGCAACAGATCCATTCCTTCCGGTAGAGATCGCGGTGCCAAACCTGCGGCCGCCGGGAAAGGAACGGAACAGCTCGGTCCGACGGTAGCCCAAGTCCTTCCCGTTCTCGGCCTCTGCAATCAGTGGCTCCTCGAGAAGCACCTCTGCTCAGCATGGGACTGGACCCGGCTTCCTTGTGTGGGAGTCAGCCCGCTGCCTGGAGTTCGTCGAAGCTCGCCGTTAAGGTGTGCGCAGCGAAAGAGTGCGGCAGGTTCAGTGTTACCTGCAACCCGAGTCCCGCGTACCGCGGCGGCAAGGCACAGCTTGAGCTTGGGTTTTTCGGCCTTCTTTCGTGCTGGCGCCGGCCTCGGGAAACGGCGAAGAAGCCCCGAGAGCCTTCAAACGGCCTCCCCGGGGCACTATAGTGTACAATGACATACAATCTATATATATATATATACCGTTAATATAATATTAGATACGATGATATACTATAGTATACTAAGCCGTCGGCGGATTTGTCCGGAAAGCTCTCGGCTGGCGCAGGGGCCTTGGGAGTCTTTGGGTCTTTTCGTGTGCACAGGTGAACATGGAGGACGCGTCGACGTGCGTTTTCATCCTCTTAACCTGGCTAGGACCTCTTGGGACCCCGTCGTGTATTGAAAAATGAACCAGACGAGGCGAGTACAGCAACCTCGGCGATATGCTGAGAACGACCAGACCAGACAGTGTTTCACGACCAACATTCGTCGAAGGAAATCTGTCTGTCATCAACTCTCTGTTGTCAGCTGTCCTCATGTTGGAGACTCGCCCTGCAAGCCCGGAGTCGCTTGAAACCGGTGGGACCTAGGACAAGAGGCCCTGGCGGGTAGGAATAGGTGACATACACCTTGGCATCCCGCGCAGTAAGCCTGGAAGACGCGCTCTGAAACTGTCTTTACTTAACGAGCCGAAAGCGCTGTCCAGAGCCTGATGGAGCGAATCTCGATGGACAACCGCCAGAGCCTTCCGCTTCGGAGGAGTCGGCATGTTCACAACCGTTCCAGGAGATGATCGCAGATCTCATCGAGAACCAACAACCGAAGGAAGACTCCCGCCACCGTGACTCAGACACGACAGAACCCGTTCGCTCGCTTGAGCCCTCAACCCTTACAACTGCTGGCGACAGTCAGCCCGTGCCTGAGACCCACAGCGAGGAGCCGTGCCCCTGTGTCGGGCTGTGCATTCTGAGTTCTGAGGGCTAAAGTCATAGTCTGCTTGTGATTGCACAGCCCTACTTGTAATAATCGGGTAGCTGTGGCCTGCCTGAAGCCCAGACGTCTGCATCTCGTGGACGACCCGGCAACATATCCTGACAAACAGCGAAACAACTCTGGCATTGGGTGACGGCACGGATGGGCCAACAGAGTGCTTGCGCACAAAGAAGCACCAGCATCCAATCACCCTAAACGATACAACAGGAGCACGACTCGACAAACCCTTACTGTACCCATGGAGCCTGCGCTCTTTTCAAACCAGGCCACCTCACCATGACTCGAGCTCCAGCAGAAAGGCGTGAGGGTTGCCAACAAAGTAATGCCTTCGCACCAACGGACACTGCCATCATAACTCCACCGCCAGTGCCGGAAGAAGTAGACCCCCCTGCCGCTGGCAACTGCTCTCGTAGACAAAAACACGAACAAACGAAATATCCAGGTAGCACCATCAGTACGGGACTGGCTGGCGCACTACTTTACATGGCACTCTTCATATGTATGTGCACTTTTTGCACACGCTTCCCCGGAGAATGTTTGCAACATGCCCGCGATCCGCACCTGCTTGTGCTAATCCTGCTCCCACTGCTCCTCCCGCTCCGACACCTACCAGTTCCTCTGGCCCTACGATGCTGCCACTGCTGCCCACGACCACTACCACCCCCGCAGCTTCCCGCAGAATAACAAAAGCACCATCGCATCGCACTTCTGTCAACATCACGCGCAAGGTTCGCCAACGTGCTGCCACCATCGTGGCTGCCAGTGAGCAAGTGCGGCTAAGGGATGCGAGGATGCGCCTTGTCCAGCTGGCAACGGATCTGTCTGCACCTCGTACGTTTCAAGCGACCGCCGAAACGATCTCTATCCTGACTTCGAAAGCCTCGGCAACCACCTCATCCGAGCCGCCTTCCGGCAAGCAAGCAATCAGCTTCGACCTCAGCCACGAGACTTTTCATGCTTTGGCTGTTCCGCAAGCGAAAGGCCTCTCAGGCCTCCTCTCAGGGCCTCACAGGTCGACACGCAGCTCCAAGTCGCCACGGGCTTGGGCTTCCCTTGCAGAAACTGCCAAAGTCCAGAGTCCGAAGTCGATTTCACGGGGACGTGGGCGATGCGCATGCGATCCTGGGTCTGCGGCAGCTGAAGGCTGGCGGCATCCGCCGGAACTTGCAGGCAGACCTCTCATGGCTTCCAGCCCTGCACCTCCTTAGCCCAAAGAGCCTCAACGTCGCTCCGTCGCTGAAACTTCAAGCCCAAGCCCCCAAAGAATGAAAACACACCGGTCGCTGGCCTGCAGCGCAGACAAGGCCTTGGGGGTGCTGAGATTGCTGCTGCAATCAGTCGTTTGTTGGAGTAGCATCCGACCAAGCATCCACATGTCAATGTTGCCGGCCTCTTGTAGCTCGCTTGCATCATCCGCCATTACCAGCCTCTGAAAGCAGCCTACTTACAAGTAGCTCACGAAGGCAATTGAAAGCTCCTTGGCAGGCGCACGTGTGGGATACCTGGGACTCATCTTCACCAGACCTGGCCGCTAAAGAGCTGAACAGTCTGTGCATGGCAAGGACCTGTGACTTCGGACCTGTCCACAGAGAGCTGTTTCTCGACCTGGGCCAAGAGCACATGAGTGAAGCTCCTTCCTCAGCAGAATCTTTCAGACTGGGCTCGGGGCTGTGTCAAATCTGAGCTGAATGTCTGACGCATCGGACTCAGCCGCCAGCTGCTCCAAGGCAGCACAACCTGTCCACATCAGCCGTGCGATTGTTTTACACAGACCCAACCCCGAACGTGACAACGCCAACAAAACTCTCCAGGTCGGTTTGAACGTGTCCAAGATGCGGGCATGTATACTATCTATCTTGCTATCGATCCATCCATCCATCCATCCATCCATCGATCTACCTATCTTCTTCCCATCTCTCTCTCTCTCTCTCTCTCTCTCTCTCTCTCTCTCTCAAGCTCTCCTTCTGTCTGTCTGTCTGTCGGTCTGTCTGTCTATCTGCAAATACGAAACACTAATCTCTACTCTATTCTACTCTACCCTACACTACTGTGCTCTACTTATCTTAGATATGGGTATGGATATGGATATGTGTATGTACATATATATATATATATACATATGCATATGTCTACACGTACACTGTAGTACATATATATATATATATATATATATATATTTATTTATTTATTTATTTATATTTGTTTATTTATCTATTTATATATTTATTTATTTACTTACTTATATTTATTTACTTATTTATATTTATATATGTATATATATATATATATATATTTATTTATAGAGACATATACATACGCTTTTATAATCCTTCCGACTCTCAAGGCCTTCGCCCCAGGAAAGCGTGAGGCGGAAGGCCTGAAGTTCCCCGGACCTTGGCTGCGAAAGCTCCAACCATCACGCTTCACAGCAAAACACGAGTGTGTGAAAATACATAT